CACCACTTAATTAAATGTGTATTTCCAAGATAAAAATCCTAATTTATTGGTTTAAATAAACTTTTTCATTTAAAAACCTACTTCCATGAGTTGTGTTGAAATGATAATGTTGGAAATTATATCAACTTAATATTGTGTGTCATGTACAGTTACATTTCTGCATTCATTGTTGTACAATGAAATTTAAGTTAAGGTACCTTAATAAATTTGACTTGGTAACTTAATTTTGCTTTACATTGAGAGCTGCATTGCAAGTCTCCACCCCCATTCACTTAACACAAATCAAGTCTCAGTTGTTTCAAAAACTGTTCCTTGAACTTGATGGACTGAAAGCCAGTGCTAAAGTAATGGGTCTCAAGTACAGTATTCTCTGAAGAACGTATGTGTTCCATAGCACAGTCATACTCAGATGACATTTTTCACTTTTATTTCAGTTCACAAAATGGTTGTCGCAGGGTAATGCGGAAAGAATATAGCAAATTGTAAGAAAGCTCACAAAATATCAACTTTCAATATCCTCCAATAGCTTCACTATATTGCCACAATTTGTTGCACAATATAGCAAAGGTCTTGTAGAGAAACAGTTTCTGCACCAGACAGACAATATTAAAAAAAAATCTTAATACAAAGTGCTTACTCATTCATCAGTACAACTTTAAGGATTTGATTTTGGTGTGCAAAAAATGTCAATTGTTTAACAAATGGATTGTTGGGCCTTGGTTCACACAATGAAGTGCATGTGAATCACAAAGGAACTGCAACACATTCCTGTGCAATTCACATGTGGTTCAGTGTAATGCAATTTGAGCCCATTCATTTTGAATGAGCTCAAATCACACCACATCGTACCAAAGACATGCATGCACCAATTTTTGAACCACAGTGCAACCAGATTGCATGTTTTGTTTTGTACCATGCAATCTGGTGGCGGCAAATGCACTGTGTTTGCAACACTGACATCCACTGCAGACTGCAAGGGTAGTGCGATTTGAATGCGGTGCGCGAAATGCACACAGATTGCGGGGTTTCTGCAACACATTCTAGTGTAAGCCTAAACTGATTAATTCATTTTTGAAAGCGAGTATAAAAAAAACAAAGCTAAAAAACTAATACAGAAAATCAATTTGGATCAACTTGATTTTTAACTGCTTTTTAACTTTAAAAAACGTGCTCATAATTGTAGCAATTAAGTACACGTGACTTGAAGGTTTCTTATAAAAACTGGAAAAACTATTTGAATTAACTTAATATGTTTAAGTACTCAACTTAAAAACATGTGTTTATAATGCCAGTAATTAAGTTGGCGGTAAATAAAAATGCATTAATTTCTATCAGAAAAGCTAATTACCTCAATGCAATGTAGTTTGTTGCTTCAACTTAATTTCACCAGACATTGTCATAACTTAAAAAGCTTGATGCAAACTGTTGCGTAAATTTTTTTTGTTGAGCCAAAACATTATTTTTTAGAGTGCACTTTTATTCTTTCAGAGTTTGAATGACAATAACACACTGGCAGGGCAAGTCACACAATGACCCAATATCCATCCAAAATGTGGGTGTGAGGTGTACCCAGTTATGGAGGTACTCTGGACCCAACTGATCAAATGCCATAATCTGTACTGGGAGTAACCTGGTAACAGGGCAACATGCTAAAACCCTCTTGCAGAGTTACTTTTTTTCTTCAGTAGGCAACTATCAAACAATACACACACACCCTCCTAAATCTTTTGTATTTGTGGTACTTCCTCATCATTTGTAATTACTGTGATACTGGCTTCCAGTCCATGTTAGACAATAATATACAGCATCATCTTCTACCTGCACCCCGTTGATGTTCAAATAACCTGTATTTCCAGAGCCCGATACTACAAAACGAGATGGAATCCCATCTCCTCTCTTTTGGCTAGATTCACTGCTGTAGTACATGAGGTACTTGGGTTTGTTTCAATCAGTTTGCTGGTAAAATGCCACACCGTTACCACTGACAGTAGGGCCCCCTCCTAGGTGACAGGACATTCTTACATTGTTTTCAGGTGATGTTGTCACTGTGGGATCCTGTGTCACTGTGTACTGAGCTTGAGACCCTGCAAAAAAAAAAAGAAAAGTATGTGTAAAAAAACTTGTAATCATTATGGTCCTAATATCAAAGCTATTCCAATCTCTATTATAATGAAGATACACAGCTATGTTAAATAATTAAAATGCATTCACTGATAAAAATTTAACTGAAATGCAACAATATCCCACTCCTACCCTTTATCACAATAAGCCTGTACTTTATAATTTTTTACATTGAAGATAATGAAAGCCTTTTACCAGTTAGTAGAATACCCAGGAGACAGAGTTTATGTAAGCTGAGCATGATGCAGAAAGAGACTAGACTGCCTAAGACTAGACTTGCAAAGCTGAGCTTACTGGGTTTAACTACTACTTGGCTTTAATATACAGGGGGGTACTGTGCCCCATATGCAAAGCAAGAGTAGATATATAGATATAAGCGTGTTAATGATAATAGGATGACACATGGTCCTACCCCATCTCGTGACTTCCACGTAACCTCTTTGGTACCACACTTCACTTTTCCTATACCAAAAAGACATTCATAGCATTAATACCTCTGTGGTGCTGAACGATGGCTGCAGGTAAAAGAAGCCATGGCACAGAAAATATTGGAATATGCAGGAAAAATTGGTTGTACGCTCTTAAAAAGTTCATATAAACAATTAAAATTGCCATTATTTGCTACTGGTAGCAGCAGATGAGTTTCCTATACCTGTAGATATTATCCTTCTGAAAACACTATTTGCCTGGCAATGTCTGGATTAAACACTACTCAGTCATAAACTTAGAAGAAGCATGCTGTAAATGAGTGTCAGAAAAGTGTCAGAATTTCTTTAGCTCTATATCTTATTCTGGAACAGTGACTCTGGAACTCTGGGACAGTGCTGGTAAAAATGGCCCTCACACAGGCATATGCTATATTATGAATCACACAAAAAAGGGAAAATGCCACCAGAGATAGGCAGGGTAACCTTATATTAAGCTCAAAGACTCACCCAATAATACAGGTGTGGGTGTAAATCTAACATATTGCAAGAAACACAGAGTAGTAGTTGCATAGCGCAGACTACCAAGGTAGGTAATAACCACCCAAGCAATGTAGCTCTCGTGTAAAACCACATATTTATGAATCCTATAACAGGGAAAAAGAGTGATATCTGTTGACAGTGAAACACACAACCACTGAACATGTAATTAAAAACAATACAAAAAAAAGCAATCCGGATTCCAATGTGTTTACCATAGAGATTGTCGCTTTAGACCAGCAATGGGCAAACTACGGCCCGCGGGCCGTATACGGCCCGGCGGACCTTTTAATCCGGCCCGCGGGGCTAGGCTCCTCTCACAGTCCGCCCTGAAGTCCCCAAGTCCCCCCTGTGTCAATTCACTCACCTTTGCTCCGCGCGTTCCTCTCGCCGTGTCCCGCGCTGTTCTGGTGTAGCATGAAAATCTGTCTCCTATGAGGATCTGTCCCCCTCGACGTATCTGCGCATGTGCCGGAGATCGCCGATTGGCTGCTAATGCCTGAAACTGGCACATGCGCAGATACGTCGAGGGGGACAGATCCTCATAGGAGACAGATTTTCATGCTGCACCGGAACGGCGCGGGACACGGCGAGAGGAACGCGCGGAGCAAAGGTAAGTGAATTGACACAGGGGGGACTTGGGGACTTAATATGGGGGATGAATTAATATGGGGAATGAATTACTATATGGGGGATGAATTACTATATGGGGGATGAATTACTATATGGGGGATGAATTACTATGGGGGATGAATTACTATATGGGGATGAATTACTATGGGGGATGTATTACTATATGGGGGATGAATTACTATGGGGGATGAATTACTATGGGGGATGAATTACTATATGGGGATGAATTACTATGGGGGATGTATTACTATATGGGGGATGAATTACTATGGGGGATGAATTACTATATGGGGGATGAATTACTATATGGGGGATGAATTACTATGGGGGGGATGAATTACTATGGGGGATGAATTACTATATGGGGATGAATTACTATATGGGGATGAATTACTATGGGGGATGAATTACTATGGGGGATGTATTACTATATGGGGGATAAATTACTATGGGGGATGAATTACTATATGGGGGATGAATTACTATGGGGGATGAATTACTATATGGGGGATGAATTACTATGGGGGATGAATTACTATATGGGGGATGAATTACTATGGGGGATGAATTACTATATGGGGGATGAATTACTATATGGGGGATGAATTACTATAGGGGGGATGAATTACTATATGGGGGATGAATTACTATAGGGGGGATGAATTAATATGGGGGATGAATTAATATGGGGGATGAATTACTATATGGGGGATGAATTACTATGGGGGATGAATTACTATGGGGGATGAATTACTATATGGGGGCTGAATTACTATGGGGGATGAATTACTATATGGGGGATGAATTACTATATGGGGGATGAATTACTATGGGGGATGAATTACTATAGGGGGGATGAATTACTATTGGGGGGATAAATTACTATGGGGGATGAATTACTATATGGGGGATTAATTACTATATGGGGGATGAATTACTATATTGGGGATGAATTACTATGGGGGATGAATTACTATATGGGGGATGAATTACTATATGGGGGATGAATTACTATGGGGGATGAATTACTATATGGGGGATTAATTACTATGCTTACTATGGGGGAATATTACTATACTTACTATGGATGACACATACACATAATTCATCTACTCTTGGTCCGGCCCCTGGGTCCAATATATGAACCCATTGCGGCCCTCGAGTCAAAAAGTTTGCCCACCCCTGCTTTAGACTATAGTGAGATTGTACAGCGCTGGTATGTTCCTTAACCCCTTGCCTACTGAGCACTTATACCCCCTTCCTGCCCAGGACACAGTGGATCACCAATCAATAGAAAGAGCCGAAGATGTTGACTCGGTCATGTGATCAGCTGTGTCCAATCACAGCTAACCGCATGTAAATACTGAAATGCCGGTTATCAGCATTTCTCTCCTCATGAGTTGTCACGCTGACAGCTCGTGAGGAGTGGAGAGCCGGTAATAGGCATCCCTCAGAGGGGACATGTACACTGATCATCAGGGCACAGAAGTGCCAACTGTCAGTGTCCATCAATGCCAGCTGTCAGTGCTCATTAATGCCACCTGCCAGTGCCCATCAGTGGCACATCAGTGCCCATCTGAGCTGCCTTTCAGTGTCACCTATCAGTACCAGTCAGTGCCACCTATCAATGTTAGTCAGTGCCACCTATCAGTACTGCCAATCAGTGCCGCCAGTCAGTGCCACCTATCAGTGTGCATCAATGCCGCCTATCAGTGCCCATCAGTGCTGCCTATCAGTGCCGCCTAACAGTGCCAGTTAGTGCACCTATCAGTGCCAGTCAGTGCCGCCTATTAGTGTCGCCTATCAGTGCTGCCTTTCAGTGCCCATCAGTGATGCCTGTCAATGCCCATCAGTGCCACTTACCAGTGCCTCCTCATCAGTGCACATCAGTGCCACCTATCAGTGCTCATCAGTGCAGCCTATCAGTGCCTATCACTGCAGCCTCATCAGCGCACATCAGTGAAGGAGAAAAATAAATTATTTACAAAATTTTGTAACAAAAACTAAGAAAAAACTTTTTTTTTTCAAAATTTTCAGTTGTTTTTGATTTGTTTAGCTAAAAATAAAAAACCCAGAGGTGATTAAAGACCACCAAAAGAAATCTCTATCTGTCTCAAAAAAATGATAAAAATTTCATATGGGTACAGTGTTGCATGACCGCTCAATTGTCATTCAAAGTGTGACAGTGCTGAAAGCTGAAAATTGGCCTGGGCAGGAAGGAGGTATAAGTGCCCGGTAGGCAAGTGGTTAAAAAGCAATAACAATTAGCAGCTTAATATATATCATGACATGTAAAGGCTAGATCATCCAGGACATGTGGCGAGCAAAAATAAGTCCGCCAATCAGTGCAGACTTCTTCAGAACTAGGAGGAGTCAGTTGAAGCTGCTTAAATACCCCATTTTCTAATTAAAGGTATAACGCAGCACCTCCTAGCGACTTAAAATCATCATAGCTATATACATAATATTAACCTCTTGGTGCCGGCCGCACATTCTCCCGGCGTCTGGTCCTTGACGCTGAGCAGCCGCACATTTGTGTGCAATTAAGAAAAACGAGCTGTGCACTCCCAGCACACGTCAAGTACTCACGGGAAGGTCCCGATCTCCTCTTTCGATCGGGACCTTTCCCGATCATGTGACCGCCGTGATGGTGTGTCGCGGCGGTCACATGACCCTAAACCCTGCCTGCCTCCCGGCTTCTGAAACCCTTAAAGGGCTGGAAGGTGCCGGCGCCAAGGGGTTAAAAATTAGCCACATGGCATTGTATGCTGTGGTATGCCCACAGAGGGCATGGGGCCTAAGTTACGCTCTGTGAATGAGAACATATAACAAATATAAATCTGGTGTTATTCACTGTTACTTTTAAACCCAGTTCTGGGAAAAAATCTTGTGTAGCAGTCCCCTCGCCACCCCCTGTAGCTCTGCTGCCTCCGAAGCCTCTGTTAAAGGATCCCTGCCTCTGGAACGTGTTTCTCTACCAATAGGAAGTGCCCACATCACACAAGCAGGACCTGCCAGATGTAAACAAAAGAGGAGAGGAGGCTTGGGACCCAAAGGTCTCATGACTACATCTTCGGGTATGTAAATAAGGCATTTAGAATTAATTTATTGTTTTAGTGATCAGCTAGAATGGGGTGAAAGAGAGGGGAGGCAGGGTGTTCTTTCTTTGGCCATAGTTGGGATTTATGGCTGATAGTTACTGTGTACATGTTATAGGCAATGTGTGAAATTAGGCATGGAACAACAGGAGGCAGGTACTTCATTTAAACTACCTAAATAAATAAATAATGACACAACACGCCCAGCTGGACAAAATAGGCCGTTAATTATCGGTTTCAATTACATATCATCATTAACTCTTTATAAATGTATTTAAAAAACCAAAGCCTCAAATAGCTCAGCCTCTATGGCTCAAGCCAAAGTAATTTAATAACTTAACCTCTTGGCGCTGGCCGAACGCAAATGTGCGGCCTCCCGACGTCTGTGCCTAGATGCCGAGCGGCCGCACATTTGCGTTCTATTAAAAAAATACATATGTGCTGAGATTTCACACATTGCCAATCTCCTCTTTCCATCAGGACCTTGCCCAATCATGTAACGTCACGGCGGTCACATGACTCTAAACCCCGTCCCGGCTTCTGAAACCCTTAAAGGGCCAGGAGGCGCCGGCGCCAAGGGGTTAAAATATCCTTTATTAATACTCATATAATATGACTTAAAAAGGAAACCCAACCACTGAAGTTCGGGTTCCATAAACAAAACTTTCCCTCTTTAGTCCTTAAAGGTGACACTACCACATAATAATGGCCGCGACAACCCAGGCAGGTGGGAGGGAGCACCACAGACTACGCCTTCTGAGGCGCCTGAACGAAGGGGTAATGGACCTCTCTATATAGCCATTATTTTCCCGCTCACAGCAGCCCTTGGGGTCAAATGTTTGCTCTGTTACTAGGGCCACTGTGATCAGAAGCTTTCCCGCACATTTTACCAGTTAGAGAGACTTGAAACTCCACTGCCGCAGTCCCATGAGGAAAAGGGGCCTAGAAACCTTTTTTTCCCCCTTTTCCTTCATTCTATAGAATGCCTGGGCAATGTATGAACTGGCAAATTTCACACATTGTCTGCAACATCTGGCTTCCATTGAAGGGGCATGCTGAAAAAACATCCGCTGATCTGCATGGGATCAGCGCTCACAGCCATTGACCGGTGTGTTCCGGTGAGGGGCGGACCCCTTGTCATAACACAATAGCTCCGCGGGGAGATCGCTGTACTAACATCGCATAGTTAGGACATCAAGTACATCAAGTTCCTGTGTACCAGGCATAAGTTGGACAATCAGCTTGTTGCCTCAGATTGGTATTGCTGTTTGTATCTGCTATTACAAAACATCATAAATCAAAATAACCCTGCTTACCGGATGGTCTGTTTTGCACATTTCTGATACTCACCCACCCAGAGGATCCAGCATTGTCCCTCTGGCATCTTCTTGTATTAGGCCACCTCTCAGTCCCATGTTGATTATGACATCATCAATATGTCAGTGTTTGCCCCAACCTCAGGTACCCATTTCCAACAGGCACAATGGAATTCTAAAGTGTAGCACTGAAATTCTTTATGAATTCTGCTAACTGAAACTATACGTGTGAGAGGGGGAATGAACACTTTCTAAAAATTAAATTCAGAACATTAATTTATTAAAGTGTTACTAAACCCACGACAGTAAAATCAGTCTGTAAACTCACTGTAGCACCTAAAGAGTTAATTCTCCACATTGTGTAAAAAAAGATGTTTGATCCTGTCTTCTCTGATTATCCCCTTCTTCTAATGTCCCCAAACCATCTCCTGATAGAACAGAGCCTTGGGAGCAAGCTGCACATGCTCAGTTTGGTGTGTATTGCTAGAGTTTTTTTTTTTCTTTCTTGGGAGCACAAGGCCAATCAGCACTGTCCAGACAGAGGGTCAGGGGTCCTGCAGCCTCATAGGGGAGAATGAAAACTCCTCCTATAAGCTTTAATCAGTGCTTTGCTGGATACTGTACCTTATATTGTACGCCCCTTGAGGGTTAGGGACCGATGTGAATGTATGATATATATGTAAAGCACTGCATAAATTGACGGTGTTATATAAGTACCTTAAATAAATAAATAATACTGATAGAAGTCGCAAGGCTGCTCTAACTGCTGATGAGAAAAGGTATTTAGCAGTTTATATTTACTAAAATAATTGCATTTCCATGCTGTGTGTACTGTGGGAGACCAGATATAGTGAATGCAGTGTCCTGGGTTTAGTTACATTTTAAGTAAAAGCAATTTCTCCAATGCCTCAGTCTGCTGTACAAAACTGTCATTTTACCCTGTATCTGACAAGTTTATGTATGGCCATCACCCAGCCCTACACACAGTGGCGTCCCGAGGCAGGTGTGGAGGGTGCAGCATGCACCGGGTGACACCGACCGCACGTTGTGACACCGGACCCGCTCCACGAAAAGGTAAGTTGTACAGCAAGCCGACGATCGTTGGCTTTCTTTACAACTTACCTTTTCATGGAGTGGGTCCGGTGTCACCCCGTATAGGTTGCATGCCGACGATCCCCGCAGGATGGATCGGATCTGCGGATTGGGGAGCATAATGGATCGGACTCTGATCCATTATGCTTAATCCGCAGATCTGATCCGATCCATTCTACGGGGATCGTCGGAGGGGGTGTTACCAAGTGTTACTGCACCGGGTGACACCAACCCTAGGGACACCCCTGCCTACACACATAACCATATCAGACATTTATATTATATTTCACCAAACATCCGCATTTATGACTAGTACTACTGGCATTGCACAGCATCACCCAACAATATGAAATTATTGCTTTTAGTTACTTGCGTTCTTATAATGAGAAACTGAGATTTGTTAAAGTGGAGATGTAAAACCTGTTCTGTCTACTTTTGTCATTGCAAAATCCCATAGAGGATAATTAGAGGCTTCTTGGCACAAGCTTTTGTTGCCTCTTAGATACCAAGACAAAAGACTGCACTCTTTGCTGAGCTGAGCCCATTAGAGACAACAGCAACAACAATCTGGAGGTTTCCTCTCCCTTCTGTAACAGTGTGAAAAACCAGGACAGCGTCATATTTTCAAAGGACTTCATTACATTTAGGAGCTGAAGACCACTGCTGTGATTGTTGAGAAGCATCAAGACATACATAAAATGTTTATAACTGTGAAGTATGGAGGTACGTAGCTTGACAGCATTATTTCACGTGACATTGTCTGTTAATAGTATATTTAGGCTGGGTATATGTAACCAGATGTTCAGTTATGGTGAAAAATCGTAGTCCCATCTAATGAAATAAATGATCTCCAATTATCGCCAATAACTAATAAAGAGTCTTTTTGGAATGATTTGTCAGAAAAGTTTTAGCCTCCAACATATGGCCTTTCATTATTCCTCTGTGCTGGATCACCATCATGGTGTTAGCTTTACACTAATTTGTCTAAAGAGGTTTTGTTGAATTTCTTAGGAGGTTTGTATAGTGCATGATCAGCAGTCATAGGAGGAATTTAAGAAAACTGGAGCAGACAAAATTCTCAGCAACTGCTTACCAATTCTTAGATGTAATGGCTGCATTAGTTTTGTTTTCTAGGTGTGCATTCCTTTATTTTCATCTGGTGATCTAACCAGTAAGCCCGGCAGATGCAGCAGTTAGAGGGATGAGACAAGCCACTTACCGCTGACAGGAGTGCTTACAATGATCAGATTTTATTTGTTTAAGTAAAACCATTATCCAGAAAGGAACAAAACTGTTGCTGTAACGGATTATAAAGTGTTAAATGGAGTTTGGCTTCAGTTTATTAGTGTATCTAAATCCGCTAGTGTATCTAACACTCCCCTCTCCCAGAGTTACAGTGCTGCTGTCCAAAAGTGTCTCAGTGGCTCCTCTAAGGCCCCATGTACACGGGACACTTCTGAACAATGGAAACTGACTGCTGGAAACCGTAGGTTAAAAAACATCTGTTTAGCCACGATTGCATAACACGTTTATGCACATTTGCATTTAGAAGCTTTTTTTTAAAGATAAGCACCGGAGAACCTCCCAAATGCCCAGAATGCACTTAAAAGTGGTAAATTATTAACTATTTCAGACTGTTTCAGAGATATACGGAGAGTAGAAGCAGAGCCAGCAGTATGTGTTGAGATAATTAGGTGTGAGTTGCTCATTAACATTTCTTTTGTTTCCAAGGGTGGGAAGGTGTCTGATGGAGTGAGTCATTAAGGTCACCTGGTAGGGGGTCTTCATGAGGAATTTGAGGTGTGAATGGGCATTAACATATCTTTTGTTTCCAAGGGTGGGAGAGGTCTGAGGTGTGAATAGGACAGTACAGTGTGTGACAAGCTTGGTAGGAACATCCTGTGTGCAGTGTTTTGTCCATCTGAGTACCTTGAAATTGCTATGCATGCATTTTTCATGATGAAATAAGGCTCTGGACAGCATCGGGAACTGGAAGAGTTAAAAAAATTTTCAAACGCAAACGCTTATAAACGTGATTTACCACGTTTACAAGCGTTTTGCGTTTGAAATGCTGATAAAATCGACTGCTGAATGCAAGTTTTCTGCGTTCAAAAAAACAACTGTAAACTCAAATGCCTGTAAACGACTGTAAAGGAAGATGTGTATATGGACACATAGGAACATGAGTTTATGAGCTGAAGTGTACATGAGCCCTAAGGCACTAATACAGGAAGTGTGTTACTGGCCAGATCACCAGGTGAAAAGAGAGGGGGGAAAACGCCTAAAAAAAGAAAAGTAATGTAACCACCACATCTAATGAACGGTAAGCTGCATAATATAACGTTTGGTTTTGGATTTAATTCTGCTTTCACCTTATTCAGTTGAGCTTTAAAAATGAAAGCTAGAAGCTGATTGGTTGTTATGCACCATTGCTCCAGATTTTGTCTGCTCTGTTATTAGTAAATGTCCACCATAGTGTACAAACAATAGCCTATTTGTGTAAAAAAAAAACACATAAACACAAATTTAGTAGCACAATCTCCTGGAAAGTTCTGTGAATCTTTGATCACCCCATTGCTAACTCAGAGAGTGATGTGCCTAGAAATACGACTCTTTCCCATCCCAACATACTGTGCACACTTGAGGGCCAAGCCTTTACTGGCAGTTTTTGTTTACAAGTAAAAATCTGTATTTTTTGCTAGAAAATTACTTAGAACCCCCCCAAACATGATATCTTTTTTCTTTTTTTTTAGCAGAGACCTTAAGATAATAAAACGACGACCATTGCAGTTTTTTATGCCAAACGGTATTTGCACAGCGATTTTTCAAATGCAATTTAAAAAAAATATACCCTTTAATGAATGAGAAAAACAAAACACAATATATAACCCAATTCTTTTGTAAAATATGAAAGATGTTGTTACGCTGAGTAAATAGATACCTAACATGTCATGCTTTACAATTTCACACTCTCGTGGAATGGCGACAAACTGTGATACTTAAAAGTCTCCATAGGCGACGCTTTAAAAATGTTTACAGTTTACCTGTTTAACGTTACAGAGGAGGTCCAGCACTAGAATTATTGCTCTCGCTCTACTGTTCAGGGTGATACCTCACATGTGTGGTGCAAACACCTTTTAGATATGCGTGTGTGTCTTACCTAAGCGTTTGCTTCTGCATGCAAGCACAGAGGGACGGAGTTGCTTTTATTTTTTTCTAATTTATTTTATTTTTTTTTTATATTTTTACGCTGTCCTTTTATTTTTTTTTTATCACTTTTATTCCTATTACAAGGAATGTAAACATCCCTTGTAATAGAAATAATGGATGACGGCTCCCCTTTATAGAGAGATCTGGGGTCTATAAGAAGTGACGTCGTGACGTCACCCTGGTGCTCCAAGATCATAGAGGTGATCAGAGATGATCTGGTCTCTGATGACCTCTATGGCCGGCCAGCAATTAATCATTTCTTGGACTCGCTGGTAAAAGCGGTATGCCCTAGAAACACCGGCAAGCGGCAGGAGGGGGGGGGGGGGACCGCTTTCATGTGATAGACATACGCTTGGACCACTTAGACAATCGTCGGCTTAAAAAAAAGATACTGGGATTATGGCTGCAGCCATAACCCTGGTAAACTAGTTGCAAACCCCTGACCTGATTGGCCCTGTGCTGATCACATTTACTCTCCCAAGAAAAAAAAAACCTCTCTAGCAATACACACCAAACTGAGCATGTGCAGTGTGACTCCACACGATATGTTCAGGAGATAAGAGCGGGACACTGGAAGAAGGGGAGGATGAGAGAAGTCAGGATCAAACAGCATTTTTGCAAAAGACTAATTTTACTATTGTGGGTTTAGTAACACTTTATTCATGTCTTACCCATAGACCTGATCTGCTATATGCAAATAGATTGCCTGCCTGACCAGTATTGAGACATGCAGCATGCTTCTCCCTTTTTCTCTTGGCATCATTTAGACTGCAAGTGAAGGAAGAGTTCAGGATATTGCAAAGAATATCTATCTACCTATCTATCTATCTATCTATCTATCTATCTATCTATCTATCTATCTATCTATCTATCTATCTATCTATCTATCTATCTATCTCTCCACATTGATCAGCATTTTTTACATGAGCAGTAGTTAATTTGATAATCATTTGTCACTGGGAGGCACTCTGCAGGTCTGTGCCTTTAAAGTACTAAAACCACTGGAAGAGTGTGGGAGCTAGGCAACTAACCTTTTCAAAGAAGAGATTAAAGCTGACGTTTAATCTGCATATATTTTGCTTTTCTTGGTCACCCTCCCCACCCTTATCAACATGCTAATTACATATTTAACCACTTGCCCTCCTGAGGATTTACCCCCCTTCCTGACCAGGCCATTTTTTGCTTTACGGCGCTGCATTACTTTAACTGACAATTGCGTGTTCATGCAACGCTGCACCCAAATAAAATTTACGCCTTTTTTTCCCACAAATTGAGCTTTCTTTCTTTGGTATTTGATCGCCTGTGTGTTTTTATTTTTTGCGCTATAAAAAGAAAAAGACTGACAATTATGAGAAAAAAAACAATATGTTGGACTTTTTGCTATTAAACATGTCCAGTAAAAAAATAAAAAAAATCTAATTTCGTCATAAATTTACACCAAAATATATTCTGCTACACGTCTTTGCTAAAAAAAAATCCCAATACGTGTAAATTAATTGGTTTGTGTGAAAGCTATAGCGTTTGCAAATGGCGGTTTAGATACTGGGATTTTAGTTTTTTTCTCTACTAGTAATGGCGGCAATCAGTGACTTTTAGCGGGACTGCGGCAGACATTCTGACACTGGGGGGAACTAACTTGATGTCACTGACATCCCCAGTGACACCACTACAGTGATCAGTGCTAAAAAAAAAAAAGCACTGACACTGTACTAATGACACTAGGCAGGAAGGGGTTAACATGAGAAGTGATCAAAGGGTTACCTATATGTAGGGAGTGTTTTACTAGGAGGCGGGGTGCTTCACTGTAAGCACACTGATTGGGATGGCTGTGCTGTGCACAGCCATCCCAAGCAGTGTGCCCGAGCTGACAGGGAGGAAGACTGACCCGGTGATTGACAGCCGCAGGTAGGGCGTGCACGCAGCTCGCGCGCGCCCCCTACCCAGAAATGCAAAATGTATGTATATATACGTGAGTTTGCGCACCCGTGCCACCCTGTAGCAGTATTTCTGCTATAGGGCAGTCAGGAAGCAGTTAAATAAAACCTTTCCATTTCCATTACATTCATAACATACCTTATGTTCACTTCTATTATATACCATATTTTGTGCTTTTCAATGCAATGTAGGCAGATGACGTCTGATAGGAGGGCCTGGCAGAGTGCTTTACATGGCTTCCTAAAAACAACACACGCACCCTGTCTAGGGTATATATGTACAGTTTTTTTTTTGTTCAACCAGCAGGTTGATGCGGGGCTATCTCTCCCACTGTGTCTTTATATTCTGAGGTAGGGACAACCCTCTCCCACCATCATCATCACAATACACAGATCAGCACTTGCAGCTTTTGGCTACGTACATTGTCATTAGACTGGCTTCTGTTGATCAGACAGCAGTACACGCAGACTGAAATTTGTCCAGTTCAGTATGTGTGTTTATGTACGCCTGTCAAGAGCCCTCAGCCTTGTGTCAAGCAATTATGCAAATATCTTAATTTCTTGATGATCAGAAGTCAGCCTGGGGGAGTTGGTGGTCCTAGACAGTCTGCATTTGCTTGTATATTGCCCTAGTTAACGCATTCATGTGACGCTGAGCCTCCAGAATTGAAAAAAAAATTACATTCAATGAATGAAGCAGTGGGCCAGGCACAGTAGGACAGGAGACGTTTACATATCATTTATACTCTATTACATTCTAGTTTAGATTTGCATTATCTGTGGTTTCAGTTATACCATGTCTAATCTAATCATGGATTTTATCCTGTTTCAGCTGATCATCAGATTTTATTGAATCCTAACTGCAAGTTGGTGAATTTAGCAGAAGTCTTGAGGGAGAAATGTCAATGTGGAAGTGAAGGTAAGTTATCAACCTAAGGGCAAATATTCTGACTCCAACTGTGGTATTAGTGACTTATCCCTTGCTCAGACCCCTATGCCTGGCCTGTATAAATGGATACAATCAACATAGACAGTCTTTATTAGTGTCAGGGAGTGAGGAGCCAGACACACAAGGAGGTGCAATTAAAGGTAGGTTTATTAATATAAAAATAAGACAAGAGTCTATGCAAGTCCAACAGCGGAAATCGTAGCCAAAGCCGGGGTCAAGAGCCAGGAAGAATCGTCGCCAGAGCCGGGATCAGGAGCCAGGAAGAATGGTCGCCAGAGCCGGGATCAGGAGCCAGGAAGAATGGTCGCCAGAGCCGGGATCAGGAGCCAGGAAGAATCGTCACCAGAGCCGGAATCAGGAGCCAGGAAGAATGGTCGCCAGAGCCGGGGTCAGAAGCCAGGAGGAGTCTTAGCCAAAGCCGAGTCGGTATCCAGGAAAGCAATGAGTAGCTAAACAGGAGCTTGCTGTTGTGCAACAGACAGGACACAAATGCAATGGACAGCCACAAACAGCAAACTTATATGTGATAAGCCGCCCACCTCCTGGGGGAGGAGCCGCAGAGGGCTGAAAGCATAAAGGATCCCACAATGCTTTGCAGACACCTAAGATGGATGTCAGCACATGGAGCAGCACAAGGTCTGAGGAAAGGTAGGACCTTGACAATTAGATAGTCGAACTCACCAAACACCTGTTTTCCCATCCACAAAATCTTTATTGCATGCAGTAGGTTAACAGCAGACAACAGATGCGACAGATGATTGAAAAGACGGTATTTGCAGGTCAAAACATGGTAATGTGTTTCCAAATGCGAGCAGATTGCAAGCGGCCATTTTCTTCCCTAGAAGACAGTGAAACAAAGAAGAGGAAATGCATCACTAGCTAGTGGGAGGGGACAGGATGGAAGACAGAAAAGGAAGGTGCAATAGCCAAAATATCCACAAGATGGCAGCATATTAGCATTAACCATAACTGTATTGTGTATATTTTCACACAAGTGTGACAGCACAGCAAATACAAAAAAGCTAGACATCTGAATTAAAACAATGTATAGTGATCTTGTACTTATTTTCTTTATTAACTGATATTGGTCAGGACCAACAAATGCCATGCCTAAGAATAGTGAATAGAGTTCTTTAATGCAACCAGCAAGTGGCACTCAGATCCTGTCTCCCTGCCCCTACATGGTTTTATTGTGCACAGACCAGGCTGCATTTTTGCTCTTGTACATTTTTGATACTGTCTAAAATACAAGGTTTTGTAATTGAGCCATCAATGGATAGAGTACATCAGCCACTATAATAATTCCTCCTCCCTGCCCAGCAACTGTTGATATAAGACAAAAAGCCATAAAAAACTGTGCAATACTGCAAAGCATTAAGCAGATCCTGTGTGAAAAATACAAATATGACTGCCCCCATGTACATATATAATTATAAATGACACATACTATAGGAACAAGCTTTTACCTGCTTTAACACACATCAATTTTTCAAGCAAATAGTAAAGATTCAAGAAGGGGGGGGGGAACAATGTGTAACATAAAGACAAAAAAAGGGAACAAAAAGTATTTGTTGCGTGTTTTTTTATATCTAAACTATATTGCCAAAAGTATTGCAACGCCAGCCTTTACACACACATGAACTTTAATGTCATCCCAGGCTTAGTCCGTAGGGTTCAGTATTGAGTTCTTCTGGGAAGGCTGTCCACAAGGTTTAGAAGTGTGTCTATGGGAATGTTTTACCATTCTTCCAGAAGCGCATTTGTGAGGTCAGGCACTGATGTCGGACGAGAAGGCCTGGGTCGCAGTCTCTGCTCTAATTCATCCCAAAGGTGTTCTATCAGGTTTAGGTCAGGACAGTCAGGTTCCTCCACCCCAGCATGAAATTGTCCAAAATGTCTTGGTATGCTGATGCCTTAAGAGTTCCCTTCATTGGAACTAAAGGGCCGAGCCCAACCCCCGAAAAAAACAACCCCACACCATAATCCCCCCCCTCCACCAAACTTTACACTTGGCACAATGCAGTCAGGCAAGTACTGTTCTCCTGGCAACCACCAAACCCAGACACGTCCATTGGTTTGCCAGACAGAGATTCGTGATTAGTCACTCCAGAGAACACGTCTCCACTGCTCCAGAGTCCAGTGGCGGTGTGCTTTACACCACTATATCCGCCGCTTTGCATTCCACTTGGTAATGTAAGGCTTGGATACAGCTGCTCGGCCATGGAAACCCATTCCATGAAGCTCTCTACACACTGTTGTTGTGCTAATCTGAAGGCCACAAGACGTTTGGAGGTCTTTAGCTATTGACTCTGCAGACAGTTGGTGACTTCTGCGCACTGTGCCCTTCAGCATGCGCTGACCCCGCTCTGTCATTTTACATGGCCTACCACTTGGTGGCTGAGTTGTTGTTGTTTCCAGTTGCTTCCACTTTGTTATAATACCACTAACAGTTGACCGCTTCACCGTTAAGCACCAGGACCCCCCTTCCCCCACAGAGTACTGGAACCCCTCATCTCCCCTAACTGAGCACCAGTGCCCCCTTTTGTCCCCCCACTGAGCACCAGTACCACCATATTCTCCCACTGAGCAGTAGTGCCCCCATCTCCCCCATTGAGCACCAGTGCCCCCCAGCTCCCCCTTCAACTGAGCACCAGTGCCCCCCACTGACTGGCAGTGCCCCCAATCTGCACCCACTAAGCACCCGACAGGACCCCCATCTCCCTCCACTATGCACCAGGACCACCCAACTCCACCCCACTAAGCACTAAGACCCCCCCATCTCCCCCCTATCTGCCCAGGCTTAGCACCAGTACCCCCCCCCCCCATATCCTCCCACTGAGTACCAGTGCCCCCCTAGTTCCTACAATGAACACCAGTGCTCCCTTGTCTCCCCACCGAGCACTAGTGTCCTCCTTTAGGACTGGTCACTCACTGTGTACATTCCCAAGTATAGGATAGTAAACTTTGTTTATTGTGCTTTAGTTTATAAATGAACAGGAAAGAGTACTTCCCATTCATTCACTGTCCAGTTCAGCTGAGGATGCAGATAAAGGGACTGGGGAATCCGTCATTTGTCTTTTTCTCTGTCTCAACAGTGAGAAATCAGGGGTCTGTTTATACCCCTGATATTTTGCCAAAGCACCCAAACAGGGCTCCTAAAAATAAAAAAAAAATAATAAAAATAAAAAGCTATTGACCTCCTTTGGTGTGGGAATGGGGTGCTGAACTAAGTCTTTGCCACTGGTGAAAGAATGTGTTCCTTTCTTCACTTCCCCTAAATACAAGTATTTTTCTTTACTACCAATGGCTGAACGAAGCTCAGAATGCAGGGCAACCAGACACAATGCTGACTACAAGCAATGGTGGAAAGCAGACAAATAAGACACTGGAATTACAGTGCACAAGGAACTTGGAACATTGCTTTCTTTTATTAATCCATTTATAGACCGCCTAAATCCCTACCTAATTCCCTCTTTGTCTTACCACTTTTACCTTATAGTTTCTATAGATCTCCTGGATGAATCAGGAACATTAATAAATCTCAGTGATCTGGAGGGCTCCCAAGAAGTTGCTACTAATCATCTAAAGGAAAGGCAGTGCTATATATTGGTCAAAATAATCCGTAAGTACACACAAATATGACTTTTTTAAATCATGAAGTTTACTGTTTCACATGTTGTCTATTTCTTTTTGAGATGTGTGTATTAACTTCCTTAATGCTGTGGAAAAAAAATAAATAAATAGGAATTACCTGTAAAAAAACAAAAACACAAAACATAACCCTGATGCAGAGAATTGCTTACTTTTTTGAAAAGGTCAGGTGTTAGGTATGAAATAACAGCTCTTTGCCTCTTCCTAATATGATAATAAGCTCATTAGTTTACATCAGCAATATTCTTTATCAAATAGTTTTAGTAAACAAATAATTATAATATATCTAGATTAAGACACCTATTGCTACTCTATGACAATTATGGAGTCCCAAAAAATTTCTCTAAACAACTCTCCTTTTTGAATAATAACAGATACCATATAATATTTGTCCTTAGTATTAGTTTTAGTCTCCATCCCTTCACTGCACTCCCTACAAAGTGTCTATGCAAATACCTATTTTCTTAGATCAGTATTTGCATAAGCATAGGCATACCTAAAACTCTTCTGATGAACATAGCTGAGCCTTAAAGTGGTTCTGTAGATAAGACTTTTTTAAATCTTAAAGCATTCCCTGCATTAAGGTAAAAAATGTCTCAGTAGTTGTATAACCCCAAGACCCCCACTGGCTCCTGCTGTCCATGAAATCCTGTCATTAGTGAGCTGACGGAGGGGCTGAGCAGTGCTCTGTAGGTCTGTGGACACACAGCACACAGCCTGGCTCGGGAGCATGCCCAGATGAGTGCCCCCATAGCAGCTGGCTTGCTATGGGGGCACTCGCAAAAGAGGAGGAGCAGACTGGTGGGGGACCTCAGAAGAGGGGATAAGGGGGCAATACCATTGCACTGGGTGGGTAGTATAACTTATCTATCATTTAAAGTGTTACTAAACCCACAACAGTAAAATCAGTCTGTATATGCAGCAAAGAATGCTTGTTATACTCACTGTGGAACCTAAGGGGTTAATACTCTTCATTGTGTAAAAAGGGCGTTTGATCCTTTCTTCTCTGCCCCTCCTCTTGTTGAAATGACCACCTGATACAGACTGAACCTGTGGTCACATGCACATGCTCAGATTGGTGTGTATTGCTGGAGAGGTTTTTTTCTTCTTGGGAGAGTGCATGTGATCAGCACAGGGCCAATCAGCACTGTCCAGACAGAGGTCAGGCGTTCTGCATCCTCCTAGAGCAGAAAGAAAACACCTCCTAAAAGCTGTAACCAGTGCTCTGCTGAAGTCACAAAACTGCTCTAACTGCTGATGAGAAAAGATATTTAGCAGTTTATATTTAGCAAAATAATTTCATTTCCATGTTGTGTGTACTGTGGGAGACCAGATATAGTGAATGCAGGGTCCTGGGTTTAGTAACACTTTAAGGAAAAAAATGTTTGCCTTTATAATCACTTTAAAATGAATTGTGCTGGCTCAGAGCATTAAAGTGGTTGTAAAGGCTCAAGGTTTTTATTACCTCCATGCATTCTATGCATGAAGGTAAAAAACCTTCTGTGTGCAGCACCCTCCCAGCCACCCCCCAATCCTTACCTGAGCCCCCTCTGATCCAGCGATGTTCACAATAACCTCGGCTGTATGGGGACTCTCCCTCCTCATAGGCTGAGACAGCAGCGGAAGCCCATTGGCTCCCGCTGTTCTCAATCACAGCCAGTGAGCCAGAAGGAGAGAGCAGAAGGGCAAGGCTGGGCCACAGCTCTATGTGTTTTATGGATGTAGCACCCCCCCCCCCCCTTCCAGGGCAAGCGGCTTGCCATGGGGGCACTGCTCAAGGGGAGGAGTCAGAGTGCCTGCGGGGGGACCCAAAAAGAAGAGGATTAGAGCAGCTGCACAGAGCAGGTAAGTACGACATAATTGTTATTTTAAAAAAAAAACACAAAGCTTTAGTATCACTTTAAGCTGGCATCCTTCAGGCCAAAATATCTAACAGATTCCTCCATTCATGCTATGTAGGATGGGCTGCTGCCGGCTGCCAAAGAACCCAAATACAAGCTGCATCTAATTGGATGCAGTCGCTATTCAGCTGACAATGTTCCACCCAGCTCCTTAGATTTTTCAGTTGATGGATGTAGGGCAGGAGTGGGCTGACAGGAGCACCTGAAAAGCAACTTTCATCCAGGTCATCAGGTCAAACTTCAGTGTATGACCAGCTTTATATGTGGAAATGTTGGATGAATGTGCCTATAGCTCACAACCTGGAAAAGACTGCGGTACTTGTCTGTTAATTCACCGGATTTATTTCTTTATATATATATATATATATATATATATATATATATATATATATATATATATATATACAAATATATAAAACTAAATATATTTTTTTTTATATGTTTTATTTCAATATATCAAAAAAAATATATATATATTTCTTTTTATATATATATATATATATATATATATATATATATATATATATATATATAAATAAATCCGGTGAATCAACAGACAAGTACCAAGACTGCTAGCCTAATCTGATTTGTGTTTGTTTGTGTGTATCATGGGCATGAAGTGACAAAGACTAACTTGGTAGCAGATACCCTATGGTGCCTTTTATAAGTGCAGATCATATTTTGTGCCCATGTCTGTAGTAACAGGTTTTCTGTTGCTGTCTGCAATTAATTCTGTGAATTGTAGGAGAAGGAGCAGAGCAAGCCCGCTATGAATCCATGTTGGAGAACCTTTCGAAACGTCATCCAGAGTTAGCAGGTGAGAACAAATCAAATAGACAATCATTTATCGAAAACTTTTGGTATGCATTTCAAATTGTTATAACATACGGAAGGATGGAGAGAACAGTAAGTTATAGACCATACTGTATATATGTGTATATATGTCATAACATATTTGTGATGAAAGTGCATATACTATACACAATACAGAGTCCTGTGAAAATAGTCATGTGTAGCTGTAGTCACTGGAGTTTAAATCAGCAAACAATAATGATGTCTTATATTTAACAAAAATATCCAGTAAAGGAACAAAGTCACAGCAATCACAACCATTGTTGGGCTTAGCATCATCTATTGTCCCCACACCATATACATTAAAGGGGTTTGATTTATTTCTATAAAATTCGGAATCCCGTTTTACAAAAATACCCATTAAAGGCATGCAAAGAATTTATTAGAATACAAGGTGTTCTGTTTCCCGCCCCCATTTCTTTTTAGCTAAATGGGATGGAGGGGGGCAGTGTACTTTGGGGGTGGGAAGGTTGATTAGCAACATATATATATAAAGAATAAGGTAAGTGAGCGCAAACTAGCAGGATAAGCAGCTAACATACAGGGTAATCCTCAGTACCTTAAACGTAAAATATATCAAACATGGGGTATGCAGCGCTAGAAGTAAATATCAAACCAAGAAGGTGTCACCATATACAGTGACAATAATATCGGACATGGATTGTTCATATGATATATCGAGAAGACAAATGGATGTAATTCTATATTGTTCCAAATCCAGCTCGATAGAATGGAAAAATAGTGCGGTTATGCGCTTACCACAAATACATACATATATAGACATTGTATGTAAATCCTCAGCAACAGGACATCATGGTCTGGTCAGCAGCATGAGCAGCATGTGGTCACATCAGGACATCAGGGTCCAGTCAGCAGCATGAGTAGTATCCGGTTACCAAAGCGGGTATTCAGGGGTCCTTTCAGACTCACCAGTAGGTCCAATGCTGTCCAGGCATCCAATGAATCCTTATTCCAGATCACCACCTTGCAAAGCTCATTAAAAACGAGCCAGGAGGCAAGAAGGTATCAATGGTGAAATACGTTTATTCAGAGTAAAAATAAGCAAAATAAAAGGAAGGAACTCACATCAGCATAAACCGATAAATCCAGGTCTCACACATAGGTTCCCTGGTGGCTAGTGGTTCCATCAGCATAAAGGACATACATCCAGGTCTGTTTTAAAAGTCCCTGGTGGCTAGTGGTCTCATCAATAGAACAATATATAACCAGATTCTCAGCCACCCAGGTCTGGTGTAAAGATTCCCCTGGTGGTTAGTGGTTCCCTGGTGGTGTAGGCGTCAATTGGGTGGATCCCCTAACATGTTTCGAGCGAACGCTCGTTTTCAAAGGCGTTCGCTCGAAACATCAGCTTCCATGATTTTTTTTTTTTTAATTTTGTCAAAGCTTACCCACTTGCCTTCCAGAGGATTTACCCACCCCCCCTCCCTTCTGACCAGGCCATTTTTTGCAATATACCGCTGCATTACTGTAACTGACAATTGCGCAGTCAAGCAATGCTGCACCCAAATGAAATTTATGTCCTTTTTTTTCCCCACAAATAGAGCTTTCTTTGATTACCTCTGCGTTTCTATTTATTTTGCTATAAACAAAAAAAGACCAACAAGTTTGAAAAAAAAAAAAAACCAATATTTTTGACTTTTTGCTATAAAACATCCAGTAAACAAATTTAAAAAATCAAATTTCGCCCTAAATTTAGGCCAAAATGTATTTTGCTACATCTTTGTTAAAAAAAAATCCCAATACATGTAAAATAATTGGTTTAGGTGAAAGTTATAGCATCTACAAATTTTTTTTTTTAATACTAGTAATAGCGGCGAACAGCGACTTATAGCGGGACTGTGAACCTGCGGCAGGCATTCTGACACTGGGGGGAACTGACTGCCACTGACTTCCCAATGACACTAATACAGTGATCAGTGCTAAAAAAAATTACACTGGGCAGGAAGGAGTTAACATGATACTGCTGGCAGGAGAGAGACCTGTGTTGTTTATACACAGGTCTCTCCCCTGTCAATGTTCCTCAGTGATCACCGGGTGCCAGCGGGGAATCTCCAGCCGGGACCCGTTGACTGACCATTATAACCGCCAATGGCGGCGCGCGTGCCCCCTACCCAGAAATGCAAAATCACTTATATATACTGTATGTGATTTTTGTGCAGCACTGCCGTCCTGTAGCAGTAGTTCTGCTATAGGGTGGTAGGGAAGAGGTTAATTGAACACGCTGAAGTTAGAAGCTGGTTGGCTACCATGCACAGCTGCACCAGATTTTGCACTTTCTAGTTTTAGTAAATCATCCCAAACTGTGTATCATAGGTATTTCTTGAAATTCAAAATAGTTACAGCAGAAACTGAGAATGGTACGATTTTTTTCCCATAAATCATGTAGTGGCAGATATTGTTGTGTGTGTAAGGATTAAACTGCGTGATTAGCTGACCCCCAGTGATGACCACGCTCAGTCTGCTGGCACTTAGATTGTTGTCTTGTGGCCTAGAAAATATCTGTGCATGGTGAGGATGAGAGTGCCATCATCGCATACTGATGCCTGCAATAGATTTTGGGACTGCTGCCATAAAATCTAATTTTGGATGGATCCCACACCTTTGCAGTAATATGCTACACATACCTTATACATCACGGTCAGGAAACAGTCAGATTTTCCTTGTTTAAATGTATTTGTACAGAAAAGCACAAGCAGTGGTAGTGCACTAGAATGGAATTTAGATAACTCTTAATAGAGTCAGGACCTGTATATCCTGCATAAAGATCTGGGAATAATGGTGTGTTGTACTTTGGGATACCACAGCTTAAATACTGCTCTTGTTTTAAAGGTAACTTCACTATACACTGTTTGAATTTAAGCTAAATACAGTGTAACCCCAATGTAATTTTTGGAAATAATAATAGCTTTTTTTTTTCTTACAGAAAGGGCTGTTTTCTTACCTCTAACAGTCATTCACATATGGGGAAGTTCAAATAGGACAGGCAACAAACTATTGTATGGTTTAGCACAGCGGTCTCCAAACTGCGGCCCTTTGCCTGCCTCTATTCGGCCCTCGGTGTACTATTCCTCCCACTGTCACCAACAAGGAGGCACCATTTCTTCCATTGGCACCAACTATGGGGCATTTTTCCTTCCACTGACACCAATGATGGGGCACAATACCTCCCACTGATATATAAACCATTAGGTACTATTCCTCCAACTAATTCCAAGGTTGGGGCACTAGTCCTCCAAATAATACCATGGGCAGTATTCCTTTTTTGATACCAATGATGGGGCACTATTCCTTCCTCTGATACCAATGATGGGGTACTATTCGTCCCACTGACACCAATGATGGGGCACTATTCCTCCCACTGACACCAATGATGGGGCACTATTCTTCGCACTGGCACCAATGATGGGGCACTATTCATCCCACTGGCACCAATGATGGTGCACTAGTTGAGCAACAATGAGTCGACCCACAAAACAGGAATGGTTTTACAGGTGGAGGCCACTGCCATTTTTTTTTCCTACTCATCTTATCTGACTGTTTTTCACTAGTTTTTTATTTGGCTAGGGTCAGTGTCACTACTGGTAGCATGAGGCGATACCTGGACCCTACAGAGGTGGAACAGGCAGTCCAGCTCCTCCAGGATTGCACATCAATACGTGCCATTTCCAGAAGGTTTTGCTGTGTCTCCCAGCACAGTCTCAAGAGCATGGAGGAGATTCCAGGAGACAGGCAGTTACTCTAGGTGAGCTGGACAGGGCCGTAGAAGGTCCTTAAGCCATCAGCAGGACTGGTATCTGCTCCTTTGTACAAGGAGGAACAGGATGAGCACTGCCAGAACCCTACAAAATGACCTCCAGCAGGCCACTGCTGTAAAATGTCTGACCAAACAATCAGAAACAGACTTCATGAGGGTGGCCTGAGGGCCCTCTAGTGGGCTCTGTTCTCATTGTCCGGCACCATAGAGCTCAATTGCCATTTACCATTGAACACCAGAATTGGCAGGTCCACCCTTTGCTTTTCACAGATGAGAGCAGGTTCACCCTGAGCACATGTGACAGACGTGAAAGGGTCTGGGGAAGCCGTGGAGAATGTTATGCTGCCTGTAACATCATTCAGCATGACCATTTTGGTGGTGGATCAGTGATGGTCTGGAGAGGAATATCCATGGAGGGATGCACAGACCTCTACAGGCTAGACAATGGCACCCTGACTGCCATTATGTATCGGGATGAAAAACCCATTGTCAGACCCTACGCTGGTGCAGTGGGTCCTGGGTTCCTCCTGGTGCACGACAATGCCCAGCCTCATGTGCTGAGAGTATGCAGTCAGTTCCTGGAGGATGAAGGAATTGATACCATTGAATGGCCCCCATGCTCGCCTGACCTAAATCTAATAGAACACCTCTGGGATATCATGTTTTGGTCCAGATTGCACCTCAGACTGTCCAGGAGCTCAGTGATGCCCTGGTCCAGACCTGGGAAGAAGTAGCCCAGGACACCATCCGTCGTCTCATTAGGAGCATGCCCCGAAATTGTCAGGCATGCATACAAGCACGTGGGGGCCATACAAACTACTAACTACCATTTTGAGTTGCTGCAATGAAATTTCAGCAAATGGACTAGCCTGATGCATCATTTTTTTCACTTTCATTGTCAGGGTGTCTTTGAATTCAGTCCTCTGTATGTTGATAATTTTCATTTCCATCAAATGATGGGGCATCCTTACGTTCCTAACACATTACCCAATCCATATCAGTATAGATATCCAGCGTGATATTTTTTACCCACTGAGATCTGATGTGTTTTCAAAGAGTTCCTTTAATTTCTTTTTGAGCAGTGTGTGTGTGTATATATATATATATATACACACACATATAGTGATATTTCCTATGTGTCCAGACATTAGGGGCACCCTGTAGAGTATTAATATAAATATAGTATATAGAGTAAGGCCCCCATATTAACGTATTCACATATCTCTTAGGTGGAAATTGGGTTCCTGCTGTTGATTTTAAATGCGGGAATTACACACATCTCTGTGTGTAACACATAGGGAAGCCCATTCACTAAAATGGGCTGCCCCTATGCGTGTTTGTCACTCCAAAGAAGCTCAGAGACCAAATTTTGGCCCTTATCCAGGCATGTTTTTACATGTTTGTTTTGTCACAAATTCATGTTTACACGATGATCACATGTTTTGCAAAGTTGTAGCATAGTAAGTTTGATGATCGCTGCAAAGTTGCACCAAAATTGTAGCCAACACCGCAAGCTAAATGTTTTGCTGCGATTCCTAATTGTCCAAATGTGAATGGAGCCTAATTTAGTGATGTGAATCCCTTTAAAAGTCCATAAAATTGGTGTAGTGATCTTCCTGTTCATGCATGGTGTGGATGTCAAAACACCCTCAATGTGATCACCAAAGGAATGGCTGCAATAGCCTCTCACCTCTACTACATTGGTTGTAGTTGATCTTTCATGACCCTGCAGGGCCACAAAGCAAAAAAACTTCTCTAGATCCTCAGAGTAACCACTCTATTAATCAGATGGTGCCAACAGGTAATCACTAATCACCATTCCACTGGACCGGTCTGCAGGAGGCTTAGCACTCTCATAGGTGTCATAAATCATATGCCCATAGAACAGAAAGAGAACATAATCTCCATAGTGTATTACTGTTTAATGACATATAAAGGAAATAAGCCAGAAGTGCACTCACATAAATGTAGCTTGCATGAAGTAGAGTCCAGCATATATCAAGGTAGAATCCAAACAGCACAGTATACAGCTTGTATCAAGGTAGAATCCAATATGCAAGGTGTACTACATGAAGAAAAAGCGCTGATAGGTGTACAAAAATGGCGCCATGCCGGAAGTGCGTCACACGTAAGTGCCGTCGACGCGTTGCGTCACGTGACCTCGTGACTTCATCAGGTCCTGTTCTTGTCATATATTGAAGTGTCACCTTAAGATGTACCTATCACATCACCATACATGCGCAACAGTAGCGCTCACTTTATATTTATTATTATTGTGTACTATATGTTATTACTCAGCGCTGCATATTTATAATTATATACTGTCTTTTAGGGGTGCAGAGGTTTACCTTTTATATGCTGACTGCTTATACGTTTATTGCGCTTGCAATTACCTTCATTTACATTGAAGATGTTATTGATTAATGTTCCAATTAATTAAAATGTTGTTGAAAAATGTATTGAAAATATGCATTTTGCCTATGTGTCTAGACTTTAGAGACACCCTGTACATAAAATATAAGTAATGATAATATATTATAATGTATAGTATCCTATACTGTATACTATTATTATTCTACTACTCATACTCTTTGATTGCATATATTAGCAAAGCTGTCTAGATATTTCAGTTTAAACTGTTTTATTCTATTGTTAAAGCTGAGAGGACCATAAATGGAATTAGCTGATTTGCTTACCCAGACAATAGTTTTTTTGTCCACCCTGCATTGAAATCATTTGAAGGCATGCTGGTTCTTTTTTGTGCCCTCACCCACTATTGAACAGTACAGTATTTTGTGGAGTAGCGGTGGCTTCTAACTTCTTGGATTTTGATAGTGAATGTATGTAATTCCAGAAATGAAGATTACCGTGTGTGTCTTTCTTTGCCAGAACGCCTACAAAAGCTGTCTAATCCTCATATAAAGGACAAATTGCGCAATCCTATCGGCAAAAAATCTCGAGTCTCCAAAGAAACTCCTTTTGCTTCTCCTACAAAACCAAGAGCTGCTTCACAGCAGAAGAGCCGGCCAGCCTGAAGAGCTGGTGTACATTTTGGGGACTATCCACAGATCTACAGTCTTTAGGGAAGCTATACAGCTTAGACAAATACAATTTAAGAATATGGTTTTGTCAATATGTTTATTTACGTGCATTTATAATGTATTTTACTAGGGAAGCCACATGAGATCAAACTTCTCTACTGTATGTCTTTTTGCCAGCATTTTACAATACTTTTTGTTCCTACGTAGTGCTACCTTTTATCTTCAAGTTTCCCACCACCATCAAAATGAGATCCAAAAAAAACGAATCTTATGACTAAGAAAGGTGTATATGAATGACAAATTGAAATGGTTATTATTCATTTACCTAAACATCTCTAAATCCACAAATTTCACCTTTGTTATTTAACTTCATCATTAGTGGAAGGACCTAGGCGTCTTTGGTGACCCCCCTCCCTGTAAATCTACAATGGACAACCCCGTATAAAAAGCTAAGGGTTGTCGCCATACAATAGAAGCATCCCAATAGGAGAACTGACTAGGACAAGTAAAATTGATTAGGCCCATGAGACATTGTTTACAGAGTATTAACATACACAGTGCAATTAATCCTGATGTTATACACCCATATAATGTCTCAAAACATTTTGAAAAGGTACATAAAGTTATCTGACCTTCGGTGCAGAAAGGCCAGCTTTGGGACCCTAAAGGTGACAAACTTAAAATAAAATATACACAATACAGAAACCTATCTTTAGATATGATGTTGATTTATTTATATTTGACTAAAATGGTAATATTCCTAATATTATTTGCATTTTAGCAGTTTACCTACAACCATACAGTGTATTGTATTCTTGTAGATTTAAACAGCAATCTTTATTTCTGCCAATAGATGGTAGATCTGAGCTTCCATTCAAGACTTGCCTAGATTTGTTTCATGTATTATAGTATGGTATTTCTTTACTATGTTGCAATCTTTCCTTATTTGGAGCTCCATTTGTGAATGTATATATTTTGAGGATATTTACTGTGGATGGTTTTAGTTCCTTGTATGTATATAGCATTTGATGATACTATAGTTTTGATATTATTTTAATATAGTGGAACACATTTTCATGCTGGTTATTGTTGGTATAGTAATGTCATGTTCATTATATATACTGTTAATAGGAAGCAGGGCAGTACTGATTCATTCTGGTTCTTGTGGCTTTTCTGGCAGCACACCAGAATCAGGATTAGTCTGATCCATACATGTGTGTCTTTTCCTGATAATCCTTGTACAGGCTGATTAGGGTCTGCGTAGGCTGAAATGCCCCTGTGGCCGTGTTTTACCCTTTGGATGCTAAATAAAAGTTATAGTTATACACTCCAGCACAGCACGCCAGTTCATATAGTGGACTTGATGTAGAGCTATTCACCCAGAGGTCATCACAGAGGACAAGGGGCACTCTTTACGTCTGGAGAAAAATAACATTTAATCTCCAAACATGGAAAGGTTTCTTCACAGTGAGAGCTGTGAAAATGTGGAATGGACTCCCTCAAAAGTTGGTTCTGTCCAGCTCAGTGGATTGCCTTAAAAAATGCCTGGATTCTTTCTTGGATACACAGAATATAACTGGATACTAACATTTATAGGTAAAGTTGAACTCGTGGGATCAGGAAGGAATTTTTTTCCCCTGCAGGAGCAAATTGGATCATGCTTTGCTGGGGTTTTTTGCCTTCCTCTGGATCAACTTTTCTTTTTCCAGCCAGACTAACTAGGTAACTATTTTTAGCACACATACATTGGTTCCTAGTATCTAGGCCTCTAGTGAGATCTTCCATAGCACAAAGAAGAATCCTATCCTCCTCACTCTATGTCACCATGTGAGAGCTGCACTGCCGTCCAATTTGCTTTTATCTGACATTGGCTCACACCTCTCTGGTACATGTAGAGTCTTACGACTAGAGATGAGAAAACTTACCTAGGTCAGTTTAAAGTGGTTTTAGCCAAACATAACAAAAGTTTGGATGCCGAATCCAAACCCTATTGAAGTCAACAGCAGCCAAATCTGTCAGAACAATTTTCTCTATTTTTAAAGTAGAATTATAGGCAAAACTTTTTTTCTTCCATTTCAGATAGATTAAGGCTAGGTTCACACCTATGCAGTTTGCGTCTGATCCATTTCTGCAGTGCTTTTTGCTTTTTTTTTTTGCCACGGTTTGCATTTTTTTTTCCAACTTGTTGCTAGGCAGATTAAAACGCAAAATGTATCAAAATCGCGTCAAAAATGCACTACATGCTTTTCTGCAGCGTCTCCATTGAAGTCTATAGAACCAAAACTGCAATTTTTTGCATTTAAAAAAAAGTCCCGGACCCTTTCCAAAAAACGCAGCGGGTGAAAATGCGGAGATGTGAACCTGTCCCATAGGAAATCATGTTAAATGGACTGCTGTGCGTTTCTGTAAAACGTAACAGAAATAAATAGGTGTAAACCTAGACTAAAGGATTAAAATCTCTGTCATATTTTTTCGCCATCTGTGTCTGTCATTGCAGAGATTTCCCTTCACTTCCTGTCCCATAGCCAAAGCAGGAAGCAAGAAGAAATCCTTGCAAATTAAGGGAAACCATTGCGCCCCCCCCCCCCCCCCCCAGTGTATGTACGGGCAGACACCATGCTACTAAATTATCATGCGGGGTAGACAGGCAACTTCCTAATAGTGAAAGAACAGGGTGGTTCCTGTGAGCACATTTTCAGTTACCCAGACTAAAAAGCCAGACTAAAAAGGTACAATAAATAAACATGAACAGAAAGATGCTTTATTGCAGAAGAGACATTGCTATGTCCCTTCTGCAAAAAAACAAACCTACCTGCCTGTTTGCAATCTTCTTTAGAATGCACTGGGCTGGTCAGTTTACATTTTTTGCACAGTGCCTAAGTGTTAGGATAAATGAATTTATAACCGGACGTTACATCATCCCAGGCCAGCCAATCAAGGTGGATGAAGAAGCTGAAGAAAATGCTGCAGATGGTGAGAGATCTTGCAGACATCATATTGGAGGAAAGTATCAGCAGAGTTTAATTCTGCTTTAACTGCATTGTGTTTTTTTTAAACTTTACAAACTTGCTCTTTTATATTTTAAAAAGATTTAATCTCCAAACATGGAAAGGTTTCTTCACAGTGAGAGCTGTGAAAATGTGGAATAGACTCCCTCAAGAGTTGGTTCTGGCCAGCTCAGTGGATTGCTTTCAAAAAGGCCTGGATTATTTCCTAGATACACAGAATATAACTGGATACTAACATGTATAGGTAAAGTTGATCCAGGGAATATCAGATTGCCTCTCGGGGATCAGGAAGGAATTTTTCCCCCTGCTGGAGCAAATTGTATCATGCTTTGCTGAATCAACTGTGGGTATAGGATTATAACTTTTTTTATGGTTGAACTGGATGGACTTTTTTTCAGCCAGACGAACTATGTAACTACAGTCAGGTCCATGAATATTGGGACATCGACACAATTCTAACATTTTTGGTTCTATACACCACCACAATGGATTTGAAATTAAACGAACAAGATGTGCTTTAACTGCAGACTGTCCGCTTTAATTTGAGGGTATTTACATCCAAATCAGGTGAACGGTGTAGGAATTACAACAGTTTGCATATGTGCCTCCCCACTTGTTAAGGGACCAAAAGTAATGGGACAGAATAATAATCATAAATCAAACTTTCACTTTTTAATACTTGGTTGCAGATGGACAATGACCCAAAGCATACTGCAAAAGCAACCAAAGAGTTTTTTAAGGGAAAGAAGTGGAATGTTATGCAATGGCCAAGTCAATCATCTGACCTAAATCCGATTGAGCATGCATTTCACTTGCTGAAAGACAAAACTGAAGGGAAAATGCCCCAAGAACAAGCAGGAACTGAAGACAGTTGCAGTAGAGGCCTGGCAGAGCATCACCAGGGATGAAACCCAGCGTCTGGTGATGTCTATGCGTTCCAGACTTCAGGCTGTAATTGACTGCAAAGGATTTGCAACCAAGTATTAAAAAGTGAAAGTTTGATTTAGGATTATTATTCTGTCCCATTACTTTTGGTCCCTTAACAAGTGGAGGCACATATGCAAACTGTTGTAATTCCTACACCGTTCACCTGATTTGGATGTAAATACCCTCAAATTAAAGCGGACAGTCTGCAGTTAAAGCACATCTTGTTCGTTTCATTTCAAATCCATTGTGGGTGGTGTATATAGAGCCAAAAATGTTAGAATTGTGTTGATGTTCCAATATTTATGGACCTGACTGTATATTTTGTTATGGCAATAAATATTTAGATTTTTAGATAAAAGCAGAACTAAAGTTAATCTGTCACAAACTGCAAGCAGGCAGACTCTTTATAGCAGAAGAGACATTCAATGTTTCTTCTGCAATTAAATACTCCTTCCTGCCTACTCAGCATTTCTCTAGCATGTAAACTGAGCTGCGCGTGCTCGGTCCCTAAGGGTCAGGATGATACATGCACAGGAGTGACGTCATCCAGCAGCAGCCAATGAAAACGGCCGAAGACCAGCACCCAGAAGATGCCAGCACCAGGGAGGAAAGGGAAGGTAAGTTTAGATCCCTTTAATTCAGCTTTAACTGGTAGTGTAGTGCAGTTACTCTGTCTCTCTGTTAAAGCTTATCTAAACCAACAAAACAAAGATGTAATATATTGCAGCTTATTAGTCCTTCGACTGCATTTGTTTTCATTTTTCAGGCCAAGAACATTTTTAGCCAGTACAGAAAATACATGTTATTCATATATTATTTCAATCTTATTAAGTAATTTTGTGACGGATTTTGAAGCCACACTAACGGTAAGAGTTGTACAATGGAATCACATACAACAATTAAAGCTTAATTAAAATATAAATATATTTATTAAATATTCTGTTGAAAGACAACACAGATAACTTCCAGGACATATGCAGTGCTCTCGGCATGTAGTGGGAAGAGAATTAAACAATATTGATGCTGCTGAGAAATGGTTCTTCACAGTTCAGCGAGGACCCAGAAGACTATTATATCAGGGAAGAAATACCTGCAGAAAGCAAAAGTGAAAATTACATTTTGAAGGCCATGAATACAGCAAAGCATACCATACACCTCTGGCCATGGCTACCACTATCATTAACTGGTCATATACTTGCTGACTACAGTAGCAATGCTTTCAATTCCAGCATCCCTAGCAATCATTGCTTTCTTTTCCTATGTGCAAGCTTCTTGTCAGCACATAAACAGACTGGCTCCTTGTGCTGTTTCTTCCCCTCAAGCTCCAGCCCTGCTGTAAAAGGGAGTACAAGAGATGGCAGACACTGAGCAGTTGGTAAGGTGGATGATTCCGGCATCAGCAATCATGATAGACTGTAGGGGGGATAGCCTGTGTAAAGGGAAGCCTATGAGAAGGAAGTTGCAATAGTCAAGGCAAGAAATAACAAGAGAATGAATGAGTAGCTTGGTGGTTTCATTAGTTACAAACGGGCATATTTCAGAGATGTTACAGAGGTGAAGTCTACAAGCTTTTTAGAGTCATTGGATTTGGAACTGAAAGGACAGGTAAGAGTCCCGGGTTACATCTAGTTGCCTGATGGGAGCAGAGGGACTGATAGCTGTATTATTGATCTTGAAGGAAAAGTCAGGGAGGTGGGCACAAGCGGGAGGGGAATATTAAAAGCTTGGTTTTAGAAAGATAGATTTTGATGAAATGTTGTGACATCCATGTCAATATGTCACTTAGTAGGTTAGTAATGCGAGAGCTGACCAAAGGAGTGAGGTGAAGAGTAGAGAGATAGATTTGGGTGTCATCAGCTAGAGATGGTATTGAAAGCCATGGGAAGTTATTAACCAGTTCCCAACCAGTGTATTGTAATATGATGGCTGGTCGGGACTTTCATCGTTCCAGGTGGACATCAAATTCCATCCTCCCGAAAACGTGCCTTTCAGGCGGCTGTGCGGGCCGCGCTGTGGCACATTCTGTCAATGGCCGTGTCCAGTAGACACAGCCATTGACAGATGACTGATCACTGTACTGGCCGAATCCAGTACCATGTGATAGCGGTGACCAATCACATGACAAATGTAAACAATGAATGGCTTCCTTTCATGCCATTAATTGCTTACAATTGTGTTGATAGCTGAGATTAATCAAAGTGATCCATTGTACAAAGATGGCCAATCACATTCATTTACACCATTTGATTAGCTGTGGCCAATTACAGCTAATCACAACAATACTTACTGAATCAATCAGTTCCATTCAGTAAAAATGGTTGTTTATACCAGTGAAATTAACTAGTATAAGTATTAATATTGTGTAAAAAAAAAAAAAAAAATCCTTATAATTGCCCAGAGTAGTGCAGTGGTATTATGGTAACATTATGGTGTTGCTCTGGTCACAGGGGTAAAAAAAAAAAAAAAAAAAAAGAATAAAAAAATAAGGATTCATTTTTATTTTACATAATGTCACCAGCCAGTGTCCCTGATCACCGCCACACAAGTTATATGATGACACTGTACTGCACTGATGACAGAGTGTAAAAAGAAAAAAAAAACAAAATGTTAATTTTTTTTTATTTAATTATACAAAACATTATGACAAAAAAATTACAACTTCAAACAACTCGCCATGCCTCTTACTAAATACCTTAGACTGTCTATTTTCCGAAAAAGGGCTCATTTGAGGGATATTTGTATTGTTCTGAAACTTTAGGCCTCAAGAAATGAGATAGGCAGTCACTACATTGATTTGATCGATTTTCAGATATATACCATAGTTTGTGGACTCTATAATTTTCCTACCAACTAAATAATAAAACACTGATTTGAGTTATTTTCACCAAAAAATGTAGCAAAATACACTATGCTCTACATTTTTGAAGAAAGATGTTTTGCAAAATTTTATAACAAAGAAACACATTTTTTTCCAAAGTTTTGTCTTTTTTCATTTATTTAACAAAAAAATAGCGACCAAGAGAGGAGGTGTAGATGGAGAAAAGGAGGGGTCCAAGAACAGAGCCTTGAAGAACCCCTACAGAAAGAGGAAGTGGAGAGTTGTAGGTAACACTGAAGAAACGCTGAGGAGTATCAAAGGCCGCAGAGAGGTCTAGTAGTAAGAGTACAGCATAGTAACCATTGGTTGTAGCAGTTAGTAAATTGTTAGTGAGGTTTAAGAGGACAGTTTCTGTGGAGTGCTGCAAGTGAAGATCAGACTGTAAGGGGTTATGAAAGTTGTTGTCAGTGAGGTAGGAACCTAGACGGTTGTAGACGAAGCAGTCTAAATATTTTGACCATAATGGGAACAAGGAGATGGGTCTTAGGTTGTTCAGGCTACTGGGATCCAGTGAGAGGTTTTAATTATAAGAATGATCTGTGCATTGCTTGAGGCCTCATTCACACTGGGCGTTTGCCCATCTCTCCTAGATGCCTTTCCTCCTGGCAACAGCGTTTTGGAAGAAAAACACTGGAAGCTTGTAAATGCCTTTAGGTGGGTCAATTGTTTGGGTGTTAATAATTAATAATAATTTATTCTGGCCATTGAAATGAATGAACACTCAAGCACTTGACGCATTTACACATTTACACGCATTAAATGCTTTTTCTGCCAAAGTGCTGCAGCTTCTGGATGCGCTGACAATGAGTTTTTTTTTCTGCACTGCATGTTAGCCTATGTCTCCATAAGCACCTGTAATAAATAAATGTTCTACGTACATATACAGTACGTAGGGCATTTATTTATTACAGGTAATTACATAATGGTGTCAATTTACGCTGTTTTTTTTCTGCCTCTAAATGTGGCAGGGGAGCATTTGGATTGGTAAGTACCAGCAGTAGAGGGGCTCAGCTAACAAGCAAATTTGTTTGCCCAGGACAAAGTCCAGGGTTACTGTAATATACATGCCACAATCAAAATAAAATAATAAAATAAAAAAAACATACAGTACGTAGAACATTTATTTATTTCAAAGACTTATATAATGGCGTCAATTTACGCTGTTATTTTTCTGCCTCTAAATGTGGCATTTGGATTGGGAAGAACCAGCAGTAGAGGGGCTCAGCTAACAAGCAAATTTATTTGCCCAGGACAGAGTCCAGGGTTACTTTAATATGTATGTCACCATCAAATAAGAAAAAAAAAAAAAAACATATACAGTACATAGAATATTTTTATTTATTACAGATACTTATAAAATGGCGTCAGTTTACACAGTTTTTTTTATGCCTCTAAATGTGCGCATGGACACATAGGCTAACATGCGGGGTATTTATAAAAAAATATGTCAGACACCACCTACCAGCAACATTAAAAAAAACATCCAGTGTGCATGAGGCCTTACAGAGGAGGGGAAAGAGCCAGTAGAGGGGGAGAGGTCGAAGATGTGAGTGAAAGAGCATAGGATAAAGGAAGGGGATGACCAGAGTAATGGTAAGAGTTATAGAGCAACAAACCCTACCCTTGCAACACACGTTGCCTAAAGTCCAACACACGTGTTACAATCTAACTTTACAGTCTCTTTTATATCTGCCAACAACTATGTAGTGCAAGTTCTCGCCTGATTGGGGGCAAAGTGACTTGAGAGTTGAAGAGATTGTGCTGTCAGATTGTAGTGTGCTGAGCTAAATAAGAAAGCAATGTATGCTCCTAAAGTGCAGGTTTCATGTTGATGGGGTCCTGCTGCCATCCTGCAAACAGAACAGTGACCTGCTACGTTGTCTATTAGGCTGCTTTTTTACCAGTCTACTAATTATGACGGATGAGAGACCAATGAGGACCGCACCACTGAATCGCAAGAGGAGATTTTTCATTATTTGCTCATCTCTATTAACAATCAAGAGTGTTTTTTTTTTTTTTTTTTTTTTTTTTTTTTTATATTCTGCCTACACAACCCCTGGACTCATATATAAAATGCTCCCAAGGAATCATTACTCTGTTCACCTTTTAGTTATTTCCACCTGCAAAAAGAATCATTACAAGGATTTATGAAGACAATCCCATATCAGTTTCCCTTCCTTCTTCATAACTCACCATAGTTGTATTTGCACTGCTTCAGGGCTTCACCAAATCCCTCACACAAGAGCAGGTCGTTGTTAGTGGTAACACAGTTCAAGAATTCCTTCAACTCATAGTGGCAGGGGCCAGGAGTAGACTGTGGCTGCTGGGAGTAGGTGGGGGGCTTTGGAGCCTCCTAGAGGAAAAACAACAAAGAATGAACTTTATACCACTAGGTAAAAAACTTCCTTGAACTACATGGTAGACAAAGCTAATTCACTGTCCAGTCAAGAGGTTGTAAAAAGAAAAGAAACAAGGGTAAAGTAATATTAAACTCTCTGCATTTTTTATTTAATACGCTGGTCAATATAAAATAAACATTCCCCAGCAAACTATTTACTAAAATGTTTACTCCAGCACTTGCAGCTGTCAATGCTGCTGGCTCCTGCTCTCTCAGTGCTGCTTCTCTGAACTTCTGGTCTTCACAGGAAAGAGGGAACAGTGGACAGTGTAGTCTCCAGCCAGCCTGGGAGGAGAAAGGGAATGCTTTACCATGGCTATGGGGTTTTCTTATGATGCACACAGTGTAGGGAGGCACAACTACAGTACCTGCAGAAAAGGGTGGCTCCATTGGATGCTACAAGAGAACAGAGCCACCCTGAAACAGGAAACCTGGGGAGCAGTCATGGCACCAGCTTAAAAAAAACATAGGCAGGGATTACAAGGTAATGAAGCTGCATACATAAGTGATTAATTGAAAAATTGAGGGTTTAATTACTTTAATGGGAAAGAGAGCCATATTGCTTGCTATACCCGGAAAGCTACATAAGGCATTCTGCTTCAACAGATGAACAGGGGAGCAATTGGATTGGTAAGTACCAGCAGTAGAGGGGCGCAGCTAACAAGTAAATTTGTTTGTTCTGGACAAAGTCCAGGGTTACTTTAATATGTATGTCATGATCAAATTAAAAAAAAAAACAAACAAACATATGCAGTAATACATTTATTTATTACAGGTACTTATATAATGGCATCAATTTATGCAGCACTTTACATATATATTGTGCATTCACATCACTCCCTGCCCTTGAAGGCTTACAATCTATGGTCCCCAGCACACAGTCATACATGTACATCTCTGCAATACATGCATATTTCCCCATGTTTCATCTATTTAAAGACATCACAAATACAGAAAATACCTGTTTATTCTGGCACTTAGCTCAACTAACTTTATGTTGTGTGCCAAAAACACCTTTTACTAGAAATGCAAAAAATGCTGTCAGCCCAGCCCGTTCTGTTTTACAAAAACACTCCACTATTCATAACATAATGGATGAGTTTTGTAGTTCATACAAAGAATGAGCAGGGCCAATTAAACTCCTTGAAATAACACAGGCAGACTGCATGGGACAAGTTTGGATTTCTGAAATATAAAGCTGTATACACATAAATTGCAGAGTTGATTAGAATTCACTTTGCTGAATGTAGACTAATACAAAATAAATTCTTGTTAGCTGTTGGGTTACTGCAAAGTGGTAATAAACCCAAAAGGAAACATTTTTCATATGCTGCTTACCAATAGAGCCACCAATTTAGATGTGGTGGCTGCATTAATTTTCTTTTTTTGGGCTTTCCTTTATTGTCAACTAGTGATCCTGCTAGTAAGTCTGCTGTTTCTGCAACAGAACAAGCTGCCCTGCAGATGTAACAGTTAGAGCGTTGAGACGAGCCATTTATCACTGACAGGGATGCTTACAATGATAAGCTTGTATTTATGTAAACCTTTATCCCAAAAGGAACACAAACTGTTGCTGTGACCACTCACCCTCCTGAGGATTTAACACCCCCCCCCCCCTTCCTGACCAGGCCATTTTTTGTGTTACGGCACTGCATTACTTTAACTGACAATTGCGCGGTCATGCAACACTGCACCCAAATTTACTTCCTTTTTTTTCACACAAATAGAGCTTTCTTTCTGTGGTATTTGATCACCTCTGTGGTTTTTATTTTTTGCGCTATAAGCAAAAAAAGACTGACAATTCTGAGGAAAAAAAACCCAATATTTTGGACTTTTTGCTATTAAACATGTCCAGTAAAAACATTTTAAAAAATCAAATTTTGTCATAAATTTATGCCAAAATGTATTCTGCTACATGTCTTTGCTAAAAAAAATTCTAATATGTGTAAATTAGTTTACATGAAAGTTATAGCATTTACAATTGGCGGTACAGATACGGGGATTTTTTTTTTTTTTTACTAGTAATGGCGGCGATCAGTGACTTTTAGTGGGACTGCGGCAGACATTCTGACACTGGGGGGAACTAACTTGGTGTCACTGACATCCCCAGTGACACCAATACAGTGATCAGTGCTACCAAAAAAAAAAAAAAAAAGCACTGACCCTGTACTAATGGCATTTGTCAGAAAGGGGTTAATGTGAGGGGCGATCAAAGGGTTAACTGTGTGCAGGGAGTGTTTTACTAGGGGGCAGGTGGTGTGTGCTTTACTGTAAGCACATTGATCAGGACAGCTGTGCGCAGCCATCCCAAGCAGTGTGCCCGAGCTGACAGGAAGGAGGACTGTTTGTAAACAAAGTAGTCTTCCTCCCAGCCAGTGATTGTCGGTGATCACCGGGCGGCAGAGGGTAATTACCGGCCAGGACCCAGTGATTGACATCTGCGGCCGCGAATGGCGGTGCGGTTAGGGTACGTGCCCCCTACCTGGATATGCAAAATCATGTATATATACACACATAATTTTGCGCACAGGTGCCGCCCTGTAGCAGTATTTCTGCTGTAGGCCGGTCCTTAAGCAGTTAAAATCTGTAATCTGTTATCTGGGATTTGGCTTCAATTTATAAGAGTCCTGTCACATGGAGCAGAGCCATTTAGTGGATCCGCTGGCTCAGCGGGGGATCTCTCCTCTGATCCCCACTGAGCCAGCGGATGACAGCTCTGTGTCCATTTCGTTGCTGCAGAGCAGACACAGAGCTGCTCGCTATCCTCAATGGGGGGTCGGATGAAAATGGACCGCCTGTCCGTTTTCATCCAATCCGACGGACGAAAGGGGAATTGGATCCCCATCTGTCCCTTTTTGGCGGATCGGATGTAAACGGACACACATCCATTTACACCCGCCGCTCCATAGAGAAGAATGGAAGTTCTGATTGGGTCCGCCTGAAAAACGGGCAGGCAGACCAGATCAGAATGTTCGTGTGAAAGAGCCCTTAGTGTATCTAAATCTGCTAGTACATCTAACACATCCCCCCCAGACTGATGATGCTGCTGTCCAAAGGTGCTCCTGTGCTCATTCCTCCAGAGTGGTCTCTCTCAAATACTGACGGTGTGTTACTGGCTACATCACCAGGTGACAACTGAGGGAACAAGAGCCTAAAAAAAAAGGAAACCGAATGCAGCTACCACATCTAATGATTGGTAAGCTGCAATATATTACATTTTCAGACTTGGGTTTAATACCACTTTAGGAAGTAAGTACAGTCTAAAAGACTAGAAAGTGGCGGCATAAATGATTCTTCCATCCGTTGTGTAAAGTTGGCCATATTCAGCTCATATTTTTTGGCTGATTCCTATTGAATCTGCTGGAATTAGAGCCATGGGTGGTCCTGTTGGCACCACCTGGACTAACAAAGTTGATTTAAAGTGTTACTAAACCCACAACAGTAAAATTAGCCTGTATAAAAGCATACTTGTTATACTCACTGTGGAACCTAAGGGGTTAATCCTCTGCATTGTGTAAAAAGGCTGTTTGCTCCTGTCTGATCCTCCCCTTCTTCCACAGTCTCCAATCCATCTGCTATACTACAGAGCCCTAGGAGTCACTCCGCACATGCTCAGTTTAGTGTATATTGCTAGAGAGATTTTTTTTTTCTTTTCTTTCTTTCTTGGGAGACTGCATGTGATCAGCACAGGGCTAATCAGCACTGTGCAGACTGAGGTGAAGGGTTCTGCATTCTCCTAGAGCAGAACAAAACTCCTACAAGCTTTAACCAGTGCTCAGCTGGGCACTGATAGAAGTCACAAGACTGCTCTAACTGATGATGATAAAAGGTATTTAGCAGTTTATATATACAGTGAAGGAAATACGTATTTGATCCCCTGCTGATTTTGAATGTTTGCCCACTCACAAATAAATGATCAGTCTAAAAATCGAATGGTAGGTGTATTGTAACACTGAGAGACAGAATAGCAACAAAAAAGTCAAAAGAAATGCATGTCTAACAAATTATGCACTGATTTGCATGTTCATGAAGGAAATAAGTATTTGATCCCCTTCACAAAACATGACTTAGTACTTGGTAGCAAATCCCTTGTTGGCAATCACAGAGGTCAGACATTTCCTGTAGTTGGCCGCCAGGTTTGCACACATCTCAGGAGGGATTTTAGCCCACTCCTCTTGGCATATCCTCTCCAAGTCATTAAAGTTTGGTGGTTGACGTTTGGCAACTAGAACTTTCAGCTCCTTCCACAGATTTTCAATTGGATTAAGGTCTGGAGACTGGCTAGGCCACTCCAGGACCTTAATGTGCTTCTTCTTGAGCCACTCCTTTGTTGCCTTGGCCATGTGTTTTGGGTCATTGTCATGCTGGAACACCCATCCACGACCTATTTTCAATGCCCTGGGTGAGGGAAGAAGGTTCTTACGCAAGATTTGATGGTACATTGCCATGTCCATCGTCCCTTTGATGTGGAGCAGTTGTCCTGTTCCCTTAGCAGAAAAACACCCCAAAAGCAGAATGTTTCCACCACCATGTTTGACAGTTGGGATGGTGTTCTTGGGGTCATAGGCAGCATTCCTCCTCCTCCAAATATGGCAATTGAGTTGATGCCAAAGAGCTCGATTTTGGTCTCATCTGACCACAACACTTTCAACCAGTCCTCCTCTGCATCATTCAGATGTTCAGTGGCAAACTTCAGACGGGCCTGGACATGTGCTTTCTTGAGCAGAGGGACCTTGCAGGCACTGCAGGATTTCAATCCTTGTCAGCGTAGTGTGTTACCAATTGTTTTCTTGGTGACTGTGGTCCCAGCTGCCTGGAGATCATGGACAATATCCTCATGTGTAGTTCTGGGATGATTCCTCACTGTTCTCATGATCATTGACACTCCACGAGGTGAAATCTTGCATGTTGCACCAGACCTAGGAAGACTGACAGTAGTTTTGTCTTTCTTCCATTTGTGAATGATTGCACCAACTGTTGTCACCTTCTCACCAAGCTGCTTGGCGATAGTTTTGTAGCCCAGTCCAGCCTTGTGTAGGTCTACAATCTTGTCCCTGACATCCTTGGACAGCTCTTTGGTCTTTACCATGGTGGAGAGTTTGGAATCTGATTGTTTGATTGCTCCTGTGGACAGGTGTCTTTTATACAGGTAACAAAATGAGATTAGCAGCACTCCCTTTAAGAGACTGCTTCTAATCTCAGCTTATTACCTGTATGAAAGACACCTGGTAGCCAGAGATCGTGCTGAATGATAGGGGATCAAATACTTATTTCCCTCATGAACATGCAAATCAGTGCATCATTTGTTAGACATGCATTTCTTTTGAATTTTTTTGTTGCTATTCTGTCTCTCAGTGTTACAATACACCTACCATTCGATTTTTAGACTGATCATTTCTTTGTGAGTGGGCAAACATTCAAAATCAGCAGGGGATCAAGTACTTATTTCCTTCACTGTACTAAATTAATTGCACTTCTATGTTCTGTGTACTGTGGGACACCGGATATAGTGGTTGCAGGGTCCGGGGTTTAGTAACACTTTAAAAATCGACTGAGCCAAGATGAAAATTATTGGCTGAACAAGGACCGTGTTCTAACAGAAGCTACATTCAGGTGTCCACAGGTGCTGCTGCTGGCTGGATACAATAGCTGGCAGTGCAGCTGCCTCCTCCATGCATTGATTTTCTAAATCTAAATGTGTATGGCTACTTTTACTGTGTCAGTGGCATTCAATAAAATAAATAACCATGCCTAATTCTAATTCTAGCACTGAGAACAACAAACATGAGGTCTAACAAGTGTCAGAAAGAAAAGTGTCTTTATTGTCCGTAGCATGCAAGCAAGCAAATTTCCAAAGCTGCCTAGAAAATGAAAGAAAATATCTACAAACCGATACTTTTTATACACTTTATAGAAAGCTACAAAATATGTCACAAAGTATTACAAACACACTGTACCTATAAGAGCTGGTTTGTTCAGGAGAGGACAAGAAGTCCTTGGGGAGGCAGGTTTTGTAAGCACTGTACACAGATTACATAACACAGTTCTCACATGTGATCCAGAATGAGACAGCAGAATGAAAAAAATAGTAACAGTTAAAGCCGGGATAACTAAACAGCAGGATAACTAAAAGTCCACCCATGCAGTTAGTTACTCATTTAAACAGGCCATAGAGAAGTTGAAAACCAAACGAAAATTCTTGTCAGTTGTCAGATCTTTTGTTTTTTGCATCATTAGTGTGCCAGCTGCGACACACGATATTCATACTGCAATCAAAAGTGCCTGATCCAACATGCTGGATTTTTAAAAAAGAATTAAACAAATGATGGCACAATCGTATGCACCATTTTTGTTTTTCGATTGACGAATCGTTCAGTTTTTGACTTGTCTATGGCTGGTTTTAGGTCTAGGGGACGGGAAAAGCAGTTGTACTTACCTGATCCTCCACTCCTTGGCAAACAGTTCTCCCCCCTGCTCTGACAGTGGACTGTCACTTGGAGTCCTCATGTCTAATCCAGGGCTATGGTCTCTGCATTGGTCTTGATAACGTCATAGGACCTTAAATCTCCAGAGTACAGGGGTGAAGAGGCTGCGATAACAGGTCTAGCAGCACTGAGAAGCCTGCAGGAGTGGAGGATCAGGTAAGTAAGAGTGCTTTTCCTGGTCTCCTAGACAGAAATGAGCAGGTAATTCTGGCAGTGCGGGCACATCCCCACTTTTATATCACCCGTAGTCCAGCTTTAAAGTGGTTGTAAAGGCTCAAGGTTTTATACCTCCATGCATTCAATGCATGAAGGAAAAAAACATCTGTGTGAAGCAATGCCCCCAGCCCCCTCAATACTTACCTGAGCCCCATTGAAATCTAGCAATGTGAATGACAGCCTTGGCTGTCCGGGTCTCTGCCTCCTCATTGCTGAGACAGCAAATGGGAGCCATTGGCTCCCGTTGCTGTTAATTACAGTCAGCCAATGAGAAGGGGCGGGGCCAAGCCACAGCTCCATTTGTGAATGGACACACAGAGCAGCAGGTGCCCCCATAGCAACCTGCTTGCTGTGGGGGCACCCGACAGACAGGAGGAGCCAAGAGAGCCTGCCGAGGAGCCCGAGAAGGGGAGGTTTTAAAAATAAAACCTATGTGGCTGATTTAGAATATCTATAAAAGGAACTAAAAGCTTCAAAAATTCAAAACAAATGACAGACCGTGAAAGACAAATCATCCAAAATTCTTCTAGTGTATAAATTAAGTACATTAGTAAAAAAGTAAAAAAAAAAAAAGATCAGGCCTGAGCATGTATGCCCTTTACAAGATAATTTAGATTTGATTACTGGGGACAAACAGAAATCAATTTTTTTGCATACCTTCTTCAGTTCTGTGTGCACAAAGGATAGGAAGGAAGGATAGGAAGTCCATAATGGGCATAGTATTTACATACTCTGTGGGAAACCACTGCACACAGCAGGTAGTTATGACATGTTTGTTATTTTACAAAAAAAAAAATTAACCTTTAGAATCACTTTAAAGTGTAATCCCAGCTTAACCCTAACTACTCTTAAAACTCTCCCCTCCTAACACTGTATACTTTGCAGGTCGCTCTGGTCTGGTCACTTGATTCCGTTCCCCTGCGTCAGCCAGCGCAGCTTCCGGGGAGAGGAGGGAGCGCCAACAACAGCTGGGCAATTGAAGCCTATGGGTGATAGCACCACTCCAGTCCTTATTAGCAGCTGCAGGGCTATCTCTCCTCTCCCCTGCAGCTGCTGCTGGATGACACAGGAGAGTTCACGTGGCCGGACCAAAGCAGCCTGAAAATAAGTATATATCTCTTTCTTCTAAAGGTTTGTAAGCAGTTTTAGGAATAGTTGGGGTTAAGCTGTATAGCACACATCATGGACACACTGAAAAGCAGATGTCTCCATGCAATGTGTATGAGGACTATCCACTTGTTGAGAGAGCAAGTACAAGTTTCTTTACAAACAGGCATTACATTGAACACACTGATCATACAAATGGGTTATTACCAACCTGTGCAGCAGGCTTTGCTGGCTCTGAGCTACCTCCACTGAAAGCTCCAGTGAGGGCTCCACCAATAACATGTCCCACTGCGGAGCCCACAGCTACCCCAGCTGCAGTAGTAGCCATCTGAGCCATCAGTCCGGGCCCCTGAGACGGAGCGGACACAGTCGAAAGAGATGACTGTGCTGGAGACGGAGCATGAGAAGGTGCTGGGCTGTTCAGAGAAATCAAAAAAAATATTAGTATAGACTTTTATTGGATTATACATCTGGTTACCGCAACTAAAAACTTCCAAAATCCGTAATCACCAAAACACTAGACCATACTCTATCTGATCACCCTAAATATACCTGATGTGTGTCTAACGCCAATGTTTTGGCTTTTGTGGCCATTTTGGATTAATTAGGAAGGGTAAGAACACCTGCCAGGATTTTTTTTTTTTGCTGTTTATGTCCCTGTCAAGGAAATTCACCTTCGGGATTTACCTTGATGACCATTGTCGCCAGGACTGAAAATGAGAGAATTCAAAATTCAGGGTAGTCACTGGAATAGGATTATTGATCTTCCAAAAGGATCACTTGCTCCAGTGTCAACTGTCTAAGAGAGGATTCCCCTTTAGGAAGATTTCCTGCCACTTAAAGTGCTTTTAAAAGGTAGAATGTTTTTTTTAAAAACCTGGGTGCAGTTCCAACATCAGTCCCCCCTAATAGATACCTGGGCCCCATCTCAATCCAGCAATGTGCATGAGAGCAGCAGCTCTCCGGGGTCTCTCTCTCTCCTCATTGGCTTACACAGCAGAGGGAGCTATTGGCTCCCATTGCTATCAATTACAGCCAGTGAGCCAATGAGCAGAGGGCAGGGGGCGGGGCCATGCTGCCTTCACTGTGTGAATGGACAATTTCTATTCACAGGAATACAGCACTTGGCAGGGGGGGGAGCCAGGAAAGTCAGTGGACCCGAGAAGAGGAGAATTGGGGCTGCTCTGTGCAACACCACTGCACAGAGCAGGTAAGTATAACATGTTTGTTTTTTGTTTTTTTTTAATTACAACCTTTAGAATCACATTAAGCCTTGTTTTCACAGGCAGGCAGGGAGCTGTAGAAGGAGGCGATTTACCACCCATCGAACGCCAAGCTGCAGGTTAGCATGGCCAGTAGCCATGTTAGTACACATTGCTGTAGTTGCAGTGCAGCAAAATTTATGGCACAGGTCACATTCGGCAGACAGTACCACTACCACAGTTGCGGCAGGCTATCACAGGTGGTGAGGAGGCAACCTATCATCTCTGAGCCACCTGTCAAATGCCTCTGAAAAGCAACCTGTGGATTGCTTTTCAGAGGGGTGGCATTGACTGGAGTTTTATTAATTCCTACCCTATCCAAAATCAAAAGGGTGGTTTCTGTTTTGCTGTCCAGTTAGGGGCAGTGCAATGTTGTTTCCTCTCTTTTTTACTTTATTTAGAGTGTACAAAGCTCCACTTCATTCAGTGCAGTGTTGCGCTGAAGGGCCACCAGATGGTCTGCAGAAACCGCAGCATGTCTGCATTTTTCCACACCATATATCACACTAGTGTTGTGGTGTGAATGGGGCACATAGAAAACAACTGTTTTCTGTGTGCCTTTGCTGTTGCCATTGATCACATGCAGGTGCCAGTCATTGCCATTGTGAATGGGCCTTTAGACATACCTGAATTGTGCTGATGAACTTGTTAAAGCTGAACTCCAGGTCCCCCGTCACTGTGGATCCTGATTCTTTTTTTTCCTTCCATATTAACATCACATGTTTACATTTTATTTAAATGCCTTATTTTTTTGTGTAATTTATCCTTTTATTTCTTGTAATGCCAACAGATTCTTGCCAAACATTGGGTGACAGGGGAAGGATCTGTATAGGCACTGCATCATGGAAGTGCACCAAATTGGTGGGCATTTATGGGTGGAACACAGGGCTGTTACTTGCTGGCTGCTAAATTCTCCCATATCTGGCCAATCAATGGATGTGAATGGGTTGTGACCGGGTGCATTGAAGCCAGCAGAGTATTGCAACTGCCATCGGTGCATTATTTACCCCCAGCCCCAGATCCATACAGAGGTATGAACCTATTGTCATTGGGCTGGAGAAAGTAAACAATGGCGGTGGTGATGTCAGTGTACTTGTGCCAACATGATCTGGGAGTCCCTCTGTTATAAAGGAAGATGGGACTTGTAGTTCTCCCATTCATAGATCCCTGTGAATGGGTGTGGGCAGAGCCACAAAGCCAAAATTCAAGTGTCTACAAATGCCAAACCAGGCAAGTAGGAGGCAGTTTGAGAGGGAGGGTAAGGAGTGAGAGGGAGGGTAGGGGGTGAGAGGCAGGGGGTGAGAGGGAGGGTAGGGGGTGAGAGGGAGGGTAGGGGGTGAGAGGAGGGGGGGTAAGGGGTGAGAGGGAGGGTAAGGGGTGGAAGATGAGAGTGGGAGGGTAGGGGGTGGTAAGGAGGGTAGGGGGTGAGGAGGGTAGGGGGTGGGAAAGGGTAGGGGGTGGGAAGGAGGGGGGGGGGGAAGGAGGGTAGGGGGGGGAGGGGGGGTAGGGGGTGAGAGGGAGGGTAGGGGGTGAGAGGGAGGGTAGGGGGTGAGAGGAAGGGTAGGGGGTGGTTGGGAAATGTAACCACGTTTAATGGTAAATCCTAGAGTTGGACAGAACATGAAACATGGTCTCTAAGGTGGACTATGCCTTTATTGATATTAGATTCCCCAGGTTGGAGCTCAGCTTTAAAAACATACATAAAGCTGGAACTGGACTAGTAATTGTACTTATACAAGTATTCTGCCACTGGGAAGCTTTCAAACACAGGCATTTATCATACTGGAGTCGCTGTGCTTGTCACCCAATTAACTTCTATGTTCAACTTGTTCATGTAGGCTTTGGAAAAGAAAGCTAGAAGCTCATTGGTTGCCATGTACACCTGCTCCACATTCTGATATGATACATATGATATGATTCTGATATGATGCAGTATGATAAATGGTGTATTTTGTATGGGGAAATGGGTGTCTGTGGGAAGCTGTCTGTGACCTTCAATACTTGAGAACTAAGCAGATACCACCCAGTTCTATAGGCACCGCTGAACCTATCACTACCCAAAAGGTGACCAAATGGAAACATCCATTGTGCTCAATGGATACTTCTAGAGCCTGCCCAGAGCATGGTTCCAGATGCTACGGACTTTTCCATTTCACTGCTTGACCTTTGAATTATGTCTGAAGGATAGCAATCCAAAACATCACGTGCTCCAAGGATTCTGGTAATCATTTATTCTGCCTCTGTCCTTCATGGACTAATATGTGAATGCACTGATATAAAAATGACCAGACGTAGCAAATCGCCATCCACAGCTGTGGTGGAATTCAAAGTCACATCAAACTACAAGCCGTAGTAAAGTCTGCTTTGTGATTTCTCTCTAGAGGTACATTTACAATAAAGCTTCCCTGCAGGTAAAATGATCCCTCCTACACCTGCACAGTTCAGGAGGTATTCTCTCCTGTTGGCAGCTGACGCAGGGACTCTGAAGGAACGGCAGGGATTTACACTTCTTTTTTTTTTAATTTGCATTTTTTTCCAACTTTAAACAAAAACTTCAAATAAATCCTCAGTTATATGGTCCGTCTGTACGCCAGCTGATCCTACAGATCACAGTCCCTCTTGTGGTCCCTGTATTCTCCAGTCTGTCTGACAGATCACAGTCCCCCTTGTGGTCCCTGTATTCTCCAGTCTGTCCTACAGATCACAGTCCCCCATGTAGTCCCTGTATTCCCAAGTCTGTCCTACAGATCACAGTCCCCCATGTAGTCCCTGTATTCCCCAGTCTGTCCTACAGATCACAGTCCCCCATGTAGTCCCTGTATTCCCCAGTCTGTCCTACAGATCAGTCTCCCTTGTAGTCCCTCTGTGCCCCAGTCAGTCCCACAGATCACAGTCCCCCATGTAGTCCCTGTATTCCCCAGTCTGTCCTACAGATCACAGTCCCCCATGTAGTCCCTGTATTCCCCAGTCTGTCCTACAGATCACAGTCCCCCATGTAGTCCCTGTATTCCACAGTCTGTCCTACAGATCACAGTCCCCCATGTAGTCCCTGTATTCCCCAGTCTGTCCTACAGATCACAGTCCCCCATGTAGTCCCTATATTCCCCAGTCTGACCTACAGATCACAGTCCCCCATGTAGTCCCTGTATTCCACAGTTGGTCCTACAGATCACAGCCCCCCTTGCAGTCCCTGTATTCCCATGTCAGTCCTGCATATCACAGTCCCCCTTGTAGTCCCTGTATTCCCCAGTCAGTCCTACAGATCACAGTCCCTGTATGCCACAGTCTTCCCTACAGATCACAGTCCCCGTATGCCACAGTCTTTCCTACAGATCACAGTCCCTCTTGTAGTCCTTGCATTCCCTAATCAGTCCTAGAGAACACAGTCCTCCTTGTATTCTCTAGTCAGTCCTACAGATCACAGTCCCCATTGTAGTCCCTGTATTCCCCAGTCTGTCCTACAGATCACAGTCTCCCTTGTAGTCCCTCTGTGCCCCAGTCAGTCCCACAGATCACAGTCCTCCTTGTATTCCCTAGTCAGTCCTACACAGGGGCGGACTGACCATTTGGAAACTCAGGCACTGTCCGAGGGCCTGGGGTCAGCAGGGGGCCCCATGAGATGCCCCTGGTACCTTTTTCATAGGCTTTTTTGAGTTTGGGCAAGGACACAGGGGATGTCAGTCCGCCCCTGGTCCTACAGATCACAGTCCCCCCTTGTAGTCCCTGTATTCCCCAGTCTGTCCTACAGATCACAGTCCCCCTTGTAGTCCCTGTATTCCCCAGTCTGTCCTACAGATCACAGTCCCCCTTGTAGTCCCTGTATTCCCCAGTCTGTCCTACAGATCCCAGTCTCCCTTGTAGTCCCTCTGTGCCCAGTCAGTCCCACGGATCCCAGTCCCCTTGCAGTGGTGACATTGTCATTGTGGTGTCCTCTCTCAGGAGGAGAATGTCAGATCAGATCTTACCTGGCAGCTTGGCGAGAAGAGACACTGCGTCCACCTCGGGGCATGATGACCTCTGCTAGGACCGACACAAGCTAGGGGTCACACTGACAGCTCCCAACACTTCACTTACGGCGCACTAGCTGATTTCCAGAGGCCTCCAGTAGGCGCCTGCTGATGACGTCAGAACCTGCAAGTGCCCCATCTCTGGGTTGGAAGCATTCTGCACGAGGATTAGGATTAGCTCTACCCAGTTAGTGTGTTAGGTGGGTGGATCAGGTCAAATCAGGCCGAGATAAAACCATCACTATGGCAACGTGTACTTTTTTTAGAATTAAAAAAAGTACTTTTTCTGTCTTTTAAAATGTGATTTAACCCATTGTGCACCAATACCTCCTCATTAGCGGGATGTGATAGTTTGACAATTTAGTAGTGCAGCACAGACCTCAATCAGATCAATATGATATCATGTCTAAGATACAAGTTTCTATTGCTGGAATTTAATCATCGCTGAGTTTTGAGGTTTTACTGTAAAAAGTCAAAATATTTGGAGAAAGAAAAGGTTTTTTTATATTTTTTCTGTTAAAATAAAAATACCAAAGAAAGATGCCGGTACTGATGGGGTTAAAGTGCAACCAAATCCATCAATTTAATGGTTTAAAAAGACAGGCTGCTTTCACATTTATCTGTTTTTCAGTTAAAAGAGCAGAAGAAAAATGCATCCCTTTAAATCCTATGGAATTCTTCACACTGGTCAGTTGCGTTTTAAAAAGTCCTGCGTGTTGCATTTTTTTGCACGTCTGGTACGTGTTTAGGGCTAGGGTCACACTTGTGCAGGTTGCAGTTGCTGCCTTTTCCCGGTGCATTGTTTGCATTGTTTTCACACGCGGTTTTGACACTTTTTAAATGTTTTACATTTTTTGACATGTGTTTAATGTTGCTAGGGGCAGGGGTCTGTTGTCATGTGCACCAAAAACGCATGTACATGCATTTTGTATGTGTTTTTGATGCAGTTCCATTGAAGTCTATTACATGCAAAACGCAATCTGCTGCGGGGAAAAAATCCCTGACCTTTCAAATATCTGCACCAGCTCAAAAACGCACAGATGTGAACTAGATCCATAGGAAATCATGTTAAATGGACTGTAGTGTGTTTCTGCAAACTGAGAAACGCACTTAAAACCACATACGTGGGAGCCTAGGCTGAATGGCCCTTTCACACTGGTCAGTAATGCAGTGATGGGCACTGATAGGCTGCACTGATGGACACTGATAGATGGCACTGGTAAGGAGGCACTGATGGGCATTGACAGGCATCACTGATGGGCACTGAAAGGCAGCACTGATATATGGCACTGATAGGTGGCACTGATGCGCACTGTTAGGTGGCACTGACTGGCAGCACTGATAGGTGGCACTGACAGGTGACACAAAAAGGCAGCTCAGATGGGCACTGATATGTGGCATTGATGAGCACTGACAGCTGGCACTGATGGACACTGACAGGTGGCGCTGCTGGGTCTACACTGATCATCAGGGCACACTGATCATCAGTGCTCTGATGATCAGTGTACATGTCCCCTCCGCGGAAAGCTGATTACCAGCTCTCCTCTGTCAGCGTGACAGCTCGAGAGGAGGAGAGAAATGCTGATAACCGGCATTTTCCTGTTTACATGCGATCAGCTGTGATTGGACACAGCTGATCACATGACCGAGCCGACATCTTTCCGTGGATCGGTGATTCGCTGTGCCCGAGGGACACAGTGCACCGCCGATCACTGCGCACTCCGGGAGCCGCGCATGCGCGGTTAGAATGGGAGGACGTCATATGACGTCCTCCCAGAACGAGAGAACCACCTTGCATATTACTATATGGCAGGCGGTGGTTAAAGGGATGCATTTTTCTTCCACTTTTTTAACTTAACAAAAACTGATCAGTGTGAAAGCAGCCTTACATTCCCAGCATGACAGAAATGCCAACTGTCACATCTGCCTGTGCTCTCAACCAAACTGTCAAACCATCAAATGGCCGGTGTCATAACTGATCACATGTGCAGAGCCATGGAAACTGCAGATCAAAAAGAGGTTACGATGGCATTCTTGGCTGAAAAGGATAGGAAGGATTAGTTATAAGGCCTCGTTCACACCATACATGCAGTAATAATGATGGAAAAAACAGGTTTCACTTGCAGAGACATCAGTTTATGTCAGTTTTCGTACGTGTTTAATGAGATTTATACACGTTGCAGATTTCTGCACAGAAAAAATCCACACATGATACTAGTGTTGTGGTGTGAACAGGGCACATAGAGAACAATGTTTTATGTGTGTCCTTGCAGAAACGAGTGCAGAAAAACTCATATTTCTGCACACAGGTGTGAACAAGGCCTAAACCTGAGACATGAAATATGAACAAAGCATAACTCTCTGTAATGTGTACTTGTCTAAATCCAGAGTACTAAGTGTCATTTCTCTTTCCTGCCTTGTTCCTCTGCTATCAGCATGAATCACTTCTGACACGTTTTCGTGACACCAAAAGAAAAATGGTGATGAGGAGGGACCTCCAGAGAGATTCATAGCCTTAGCTCTGTTTCTGTGTGCTGCGTGATGGGGGTGTGTGTGTCTCTTTCTTCCAAACAGCTCTCAGAAGTCTCCTCACAGAGCTCTGCGGTATGTAACTTCAATGGTTTACAAACACTTTACATGTGGAGCTTTGATCATGATGCACTAGGTACAGTATCATACATAGAGGCAGGAGGAGGGGGGAGTGGTGTGTGTGTGTGTATATATATATATATATATATATATATATATATATATATATATGAACTTAATTCATTCCACGACACAAACTGAATTGGTTTCCCATAGGGTTCAATGTAAATCAGGTTAATCCGTTATGACCCCTACGAACGTGGTCGCGAACCGAATTTGCAAGGGAGAATGTCACCAGCACACCGAGGATCACCAATATGACCCGTGGTCACATGCCTGATGAAGGGGTCATGCGAGACTCTGAAATGTTGCCTTTCTGTAACTATGTGATCATTTATTAAAACGTTTGGACCCATATGTATTGGTGATCCTTGGTGTTGTGAAATGGGGAAACAGCTCTCATTCTTTGAACACTGTTTGTGTGGAAGTAAATTAATGTTTTGACTGACATTCTGCAGTTTAGCCACAAGATGTCACTGTTTTTCTAACAGCCTCATACTGCATAGATATTTGTATATTCATGAAGAGGTGGGGTTTTGCACACAGAGTTGGAGAGAACAGGAAGGAGTGAGAGAAGCCATGTTTTGGAGCATGGTGAATAAGGGGCCGTGTGAGCTGAGAATCTGATGACATGTGAAAGCGTCCCTCAGTAACCAGAGATTGCTGCCAGGAAGCTGATAAGATTGCTGCCAGGAATGCTGATGAGATTGCTGCCAGGAATGCTGATGAGATTGCTGCCAGGAAGGCTGATGAGACCAGAGGAACTAAGCAAGACCGCATGCTTGTTGGAGAGACATTTGTTCTGTTCAGAGTCACCAGCGGATGCAAAGCAGACCCGGGTCGGTAAGATCGTGCACGCACCTCATTTCAGTGTTGGTGCCTTGAGACTGAGTCCAGGCCTATAGTTAGTTAGGGTCTCTCCTTGTGTCAGACCACAAGTGTTGTTACTGATTATTGGAAGGACTCCACAACTTAAAGCGACATTTCACATTGGAGAGCTGATAAAATCCTACAAACTCAAGCCAGACTGGCGTTTTGCTCAGAAGGAATACTCAGGCACATGCTACAGGACCAGTTATGGGAGAGGGAATACTGTAGATTTGTGTAAGATTGTAAGCTGTTGTGCTGCACCGCAGGCTAGCCCATACCGTACACCCATACACTGATTCCTGCTCTTTTAGGGTAATAACGGGTAAGGTGTGGCAGCTTAGTTGTGCCCGCCAGTAGGTAAATTACTACACTTTCCACCTTCATCCATCAGAAGGCGCCGTGCTGTGCAGCACAAGGGTCTCAGCCTTTGGGCTGGGTGTATGTAAATTTATTGTATGTTTCCAGCATTTGTGGTTGTGCTTATTTGCCACATCTAAGTAAAATTCTGTTGTGGCAAAAGCTGGTGTTGAGGTTGTTTTCCTTGTTCGTGACTTCACTGTATCCTGGGGAGCCCACCGGTACATGGCTTACAGTATGCTGGTGACATTCTCCCTTGCTGATTCTGTTTGGTCCCAGCCGATGGTTGCTGCAGAACCCACTTATACACACACAGCCATTTTTAACGCAGGAAGGTGTGTGTTTCAATTGTACACTTGCAAACCGAATTTGGTCGCCAACCGAATCAAATTTTCCATAAGGTTCAATGTAAATAAGGATAATCCGTTCTGAATTTTTTTTTTGTTTGTTTTTGAACCACAAAAATATAAAAAGCAGTACAGTACAGTATGAAGAGAGAGAACACGAACCTTGCTGGAGACAACTTCTGGCATGGAGGACAGGAAGGTCGGTGGAAGACAGTTATTGTTCAGAGGGAGAGTCCCCCTCCATAAGGACATTGGGGAGATCTCCTTCAGGGGTTTCCTCTCTCCTTTGTCTCTTAGCTGCAGGCTCAGTTTTGGTGAAAATACCTGTCCAATGCCACTTGTCTTTTCCTGTGCTGCATAACCCTCTGGAAATGAGAGCACATTATCATTCATCAGTTCAACACTGTTATAATTATGTTGGGGTGGTGCTTCTGGTCACCTTCATTACCATTCTACACGTTCTGGCCACCTTCATCACCGCTCTGCACGTTCTTGTCACCTTCATCACCGCTCTGCACATTCTTGTCACCTTCATTACTGCTCTGCACATTCTTGTCACCTTCATTACCAGTCTACACATTCTTGTCACCTTCATTACGGCTCTGCACGTTCTTGTCACCTTCATCACCGCTCTGCACGTTCTTGTCTCCTTTACCGCTCTGCATGTTCTTGTCACCTTCATTACCGCTCTGCACGTTCTTTTCAACAACAAGTGTGCTCTGCACATTCTTGTCACCTTCATTAAGGCTCTACACATTCTTGTCACCTTCATTACCGAT